GTTGGAGTGGCTGTTGCCTTTGAGGTGGTTGTTGCTGTTGGGATGGTTGTTGCTTTTGGGATGGCTGTTGCTGTTGGGATGGTTGTTGCTGTTGGGATGGTTGTTGCTTTTGGGATGGCTGTTGCTGTTGGGATGGTTGTTGCTGTTGGGGTGGTTGTTGCTTTTGGGGTGGCTGCTGCTGTTGGGGTGGCTGTTGCTTTTGGGGTGGCTGTTGCTTTTGGGGTGGTTGTTGCTGTTGGGATGGCTGTTGCTGTTGGGATGGTTGTTGCTTTTGGGATGACTGTTGGTTTTGGGATGGTTGTTGCTTTTGGGATAGCTGTTGCCTTTGGGATGGTTGTTGCTGTTGGGGTGGTTGTTGCTGTTGGAATGGCTGTTGGTTTTCGGATGGCTGTTGCTGTTGGGATGACTGTTGGTTTTGGGATGGTTGTTGCTTTTGGTATAGCTGTTGCCTTTGGGATGGCTGTTGCTATTGGGGTGGTTGTTGCTGTTGGGATGGCTGTTGCTGTTGGGATGGATGTTGCTGTTGGGATCACTGTTGTTGTTGGGATGGCTGATGTTATCGGGATGGCTGTGGATACAATAAGATGCCCTTGCGTAAAAAGGGAGGATGTGGGCAAGTCAGGAGACAGCCAACCAAGATCAGTCTCCATTAAATACCCAGATTCTAGCTGATTCCTTCTCCCTCTCATCTGTATGATAAGTGATCTCCCCAATCAAACTCTCTTTTCATGTGGATCTTATGTTTCTCAAGTGTATGGGATCCAACTAAGATGATACTCTCTACTTCCTAGTTACTGCGAATTTAACAATATTTAAATTGTGCTAAAATGAAAACATTTTCAGTCAGCATCTTGCTGGGGAAAACAGTCATTTTTTCTTACTAGTTTCTGTTTTGTTAACTTTTCCTAGATGTGGAGTATCTGACTAGGAATGCCTCAATGTCATTGTTAAAGACAAGGAATCAGAAGATCAAATAAAAGTTGCTAATATACAGTGACCCAACTGTTGATAGGCATAGCTTGTTCCTAGTGTGAATGGGTGTCATACTTGCACAAAAACCATGCAGACAATTTTCAGCTACAGTAGATTTACACATGTAATTAGGAAACATGTATGAGAGAGATCAAACAATGACAGAAAAAGCACTAGAACTGAGGACAGAGGAAAAAACAAGAAATAGGAATGCATATTAAGTAACAACATGAAAGTCAACTCACTGACTAGATATGGGGGCTTCGATACTGACTCTGCAAAATAAGAAAATCATCGTCAATAGCTATTTAATACCAATTATATTGATTTTCTCTGATCCTCTCCCAATCTTCTTTGTAACAGAGTGTCTCCTCTGGTTTTATTATTTTTTGTTGTTATTGTATTGAAGATTGAACCCAGGGCCTTTGTACTGAGCTACATCCCCAACCCTTTTTAAATTATTTTTTTTTAACTTTTGGCCTCACTAAGTTACTAATTTGACCAGGCTGGACTCAAACTTCCAATCCTCTTAGCCTTCCAGAGTGCTGGGTTTATAGGTGTGCACCTCTGCACCTGGCTCTCCTAGCATGTGTCCCCAGCTTGCTCAATGAGTTACCCTGACTCATTCTAAAGGCACTGGTGACTGTTATTTATTTATTTATTTTTTGGTACTGGGGATCGAACTCAGGACCTTGCACTTTCAAGGCAGGTACAGTGCCACTGAGCTAAATCCCCGGCCTTACAACTGTTCTAACAGCATCTTGGACAAAGCAGACACAAGAACTTTGCAGTTCTATGAGCTCTGCCTTCTCTTGGTGGTAAGTAGTGCAGAACCTCAGATAATTACTGAACATCTCAAGCCTCAGTTTCCCCATCTGTCAAAGAGGAATAACCATGGATTTGTGTCATAGTAACACATCCAAAGAGCTTAAAAACACAATGGCTGGCATATAATAGACATTCGATACACATTAGCTATTAGAGTATTCTGGTCATTGCTGTTATTGTTGCTAACTTGGGTACATTGTGCTTTAACAAAAACCCTTAGCTCTGCTCCTGTCTGTTTCATGGCACATACCCTGTACCTCCCATCTCCAGGCTCATACTCTTCTTGCTCCTGATTGTCCTTTCCCCGTTTCTCTACTTATGGCCTCACCAGCTCTAAGGCTAAATCCCTCTGAGGTTTTCATTAATCCATGCAGCCTGTGTTGTGCTCTCTCTTTCCTAATGCCTTTTGCTGAGATATAGGCATGTGTCAATTTAATACATTCTACATGTCCTATTGTTTGCCTTAACCCAGTGCATTCCTTTTGTCTTCTATTGGATCATGTATATTTGTCTTAAACTTATTTTAGATTGTGTATAAACCTCCCTTACCCTGGGACTAGACCCTCCTCTTCTGCAGATCCTCAAATGCCCAGTCTAGGTTCAGAGTAACATCAGAAATGACTTCCTAAGGAGCTGACTGTGATAAGATATTTATGTACAATTGGAAAGCTCATGATAAAGTTGCCAGTTATGAAGCACCTGGGATATGTTAAAATGCACATCTTGCTGAAGTGCTTTGCTTGTGTCATTGCATGTAATCCCCACAACAAACCTAAGAAATAGTATTCTCCTGTTAACCTCATAATACAGGGAAGAAACTGAGGCCAGAGAGGTCAAATCCCTTGTCCAGTCACCGAGTGAGTGATGATGTCCAGGCAGACAGTCCAGAGCCATGGTTTCTCACCACCTTACCTTTGGTTGCAGAATAATAGTAAGCAATGAAGTTTTTCCCTATGTTGTTGAACCCTCGGAAGTACACAAGGGTCACTGAGCTAGAGGAGGATGAGTAGGTAAGGTAGAAACCAGAGCAGGTCTTCTTCCCCAAGGACTTTGCTGAAGATGGAGGGCCATCCAGGATTTCAAAATATTCATTGGTGCAGTCAAGGCTGAAGAAGTAAATACCCACACATACTTAGTCTCTTCATCAGAAGGTATAGAAGGCACGCTACGAGACTTTCTTTATTACATGACTATGAAGAGGTTGGGGACAGTTTCAAAGCCTGTCAGTGATGCAGAAGCAGTGTAGATACTTTCATCCTCCTTTTTTTTCTCAGTCACTGCCTAAGAGAATAGGATTTTATCTGGGGGAGGAGAGAGGAGCCTGGTTCTAGGTATAAACCCGATGAGGGTCTCAGGTCAGCTGAGGCTGCAAGGTACCTGACAGCATTGGGTCAATGGCAGGGCCCGGCTGATCAAGGCAATTTCAACGCATGGCAATCTGGAGGCGAGGAGCAGCATGGCAGTGGGGCTGGGGGAAGGCTGCTCAACCTCTCATGGGATGTAGCTCCAGGTTCCAACTGCCCAGCGACAGGCTTTTAGCAGTAACCTGCCTACGGGGGATTGGGTGATGATCTGCCAGCTCCCTCTGTGGAAGTCATCTGACTTTTTCCATGGTTGCTCTCTGTGAATATTTGTCCTAATGCCACTGGCACTAGAATCAGAAACCGTCTCTATGTGACAACTGTAAGAGTCATCCCTTCCAAGCCATCTTTCAATTAAGCAAAATTCAAAAGTAAAAATAATTTAGGTTTTTCCTTGTGGTTAATTAACATAGGCCATTCATCTATGAACAAAATAAATATTGTCTAGTTACTGTTTAAAATCTCAAATTTCCTGACTTAGTAGGATTGGGGTACTCTGGAATCTGCATCTTTAACCAGCTGGCCAGGACACACATGGGCTATCTCTCCATCTCTCTCTCCTTGCGTGCTCACACACACACACACACACACACACACCCCTCTCCAAAGCCTATAAGATGAATTTCATTTTAATTAAATATTCATAGAAGTATACCAAAATCAATCATATTTCTACATAGGGGCAACAAATGTGGAAATTGAAACTAAAAACATTATCATTTATTGTGACTTCAACACCAGTAAAGAAATACCTACACATAAACCTAATAAAACATATTCAGGATTTGTATACAAACAGCTAACAGAAAAAATACCAGATCCTAGATAGGATGTAGAGAAACTGGATCTTATATGCTGCTGCTAGAAATGTGAAATGGAAGTCACTAAAAAACAGTGTAGCATGTTCTAAAAAAGCTAAATGTGTTCTTACCACACAATCTAGTAATCACACTCATGAGCATTTATCCCTGAGAAATGAAAACTTACATTTACATAAGAATTTGCAAGAGATTGTTCATAGAAGCTTTATCTGTGAGAGCCCAAGACTGGAAACAACCCAGATGTGTGTCAGGGGGAAAGGATTAAACAGACTCTGCTAGACATATGAATAGAATACTTTTCAGTAGTTAAAAGGACCAAACTATTGATGCATACAACAGCCTGGATGTATCTTAAGGGAATCATCCTGAGTGCAAGAATTCAATCTCCAAAAGCTATGTAGCGTATGATTCCATGTACATAACATTATCAAAATGACAAAGTACACAGGCAGAACCAATTACAATCTTAGAGGACAGAGAGGGGGCAGTTAACAAATACAAAGGGTAAAAAGAGTGGTTTGTGGTAATGTAACAGGTCTGTATCTAGAATTTGGTAGTGATCATATGAACCCACACATGAGGAAAGTTGCATGAACCCCTCCCCCCACATAAGTGCATGTAAAATGGATGGGAGTTGAATAGGGTCTATGTCTAGCTAAGAGCATTATCCAGTGTCAACTTCCAGGTTTTGATATTGTTCTATAGTTATACTAATACACGGGGGTCTGTATTACTTTTGTATCCTATGTGTCTAGTTACTTCAAAATAAAAACTTTAAAATGCACAAAGGACTCTTGCTTATGAGAATCAACAAGAGAATAAATGAGTAGAATTTTAAACTGCCCAGAATACTTAACACATTCAGTACTTACTTGAGATATGGAAATGCCAGCAGTATGTGATCAGATGCATTTGCCTTGATCTCCCACACGCAGGTTATGTTGTCATGCATTTCATTCTTTGGGGGATTCCTAATCGCTCCAGATGACTTAGTAATAGTGCCACCACACTGAGATTTTTCTAAATGCAGAGAGATACTTTAGAATTTCAGCTTTTTTCATTGTTCAGTTTGATAATTTTTCAATTCATACCTTTTTTGTTTTATTTTCACCACTTTTTCAAAAAAAAAAAGGGTTTCATTAATCATTATTTTGTGGCTATGCTTTGGGATAAATCAGTCTAAAAAGTTTTAAAGACTTAGGAAATTTGGTCATGAACTTGTCTGAAGCTTAAAACAGCTCTCATTTCTTTTGAGAATGTAACCATTGGGCTTACTGATATTGGCTAGAACCTTTCCCTCTTGTTACTCCCCAGTTGTGAGTCCAGTAATTTTTTTTGTTGTGTTACTAGTAGTTGTGAGTAATGACCTGCTTCAGACTGATCCAATGTAGACCTTCTGTGTTCATGACTATGATAGGGCTCCAACCACCATCAGTTGTAAAATTACATTCTTAAAAATCTAGTATTGAGTAAAAAGAAGTTGCCCTCAGCAATCCCCCACTCCAATAACCCTAACACTGACAAATGTTTTCTGCCTACCTGTCCACCCATCTGTTTCTTCATCTGCTTGTCTGTCTAGCCACCTGTCCAACACTCAGTCTAAAATTAAGCGATGCCACTAGCTGTGGAAATACCTAGCTTTTCTCCAGCAGGTTATCTGGCTGCGTGGAAAGTGTGCCAACACTTGATTGGCCCTGGCCTTCAAAATGTGGTTTTTCTCTGAAAGGACCATCCAGGCTATCCAAGCACTGGTATTATTTTAGTCCTTTATCTCCAAGTGGTTCTAAGAAAAGTTCAGTGGAGCCTCTAGAAGCCTATGATTGTATAGTTTCTCTTATATGAGAAACCGAAAGTATAAGGAAATTAAAGAGCAAAAAAAGGATAGATAATAGGAAATAGGGAGATAGATCTTTTACAAGTAGAATAGGAATCAAGAGATGGGGGGGGAGAAGGAAGGAGAGGGAAAGGGGACATAAGAAATTAAGATGTGTTATGTATGCACACCAAATCCCCATGGTGAAAGCAATCATTATGTACCACAGATGTGTACTAATAAAAATTATAAAAAGCTCATGTGTTGAAAGCTTGGTTTCCAGCTGATGGCACTACTGGAAAGTGGTGGAAACTCTACAAGGTAAGGCCTGCTTGGAGGAAGTAGGTCACTGGATGTGTATCTTTGAAGTATATTTTGTTCCTGGACCCGTCTCTCTCTTTTTCTGCTGTCTGGCCACAAGGAGGTGAGCAAGTTTCCGCTGCCATGCCCTTCTATTATGATGTTTTGACCTTGCCACAGGGCTAAAGCAAAGGAGCTGGCTGACTGTGGACTGAAACCTCTGAAACTATGAATCAAAATAAATCTTTCTTCCTTAAAGCTGATTTATGTCAGGTATTTTGTCACAGTGATGGAAAACTGACTAACACATTCCTTCTCCTACATCTTCCCACCGGTGACATTCAGCTTAGCACCTCCTTTTGGAAATTTCTTCCTAGATCAATTTGTTCCCAACTGGTAGAGTTGACAACCTAGGAGGAGATGTTAATGAAGTTTTACCAAACTTTGTCAAAGTAGCTTTAGTCATAACTCACTCTTCGATTGAGGAATGGCTAAAAGCAGGGTGTCATGTGACCTTGGAAGAGAGGGAGTGGAGATGAGACTGGCTCACCTTGACTTTCCCCAGATCTGTCCCACTGACCATTTGTACTAGGCAGGAAGCACCGTTAGCCATCTCTCATATTTTAACCACCCCACACCCATCCGAATCAAATTCTTTCCACGAGCCTCAAAGCTGACAAACCAAAAGTGCTTTTCAGAAGTCTGAGAAACTGGGAATGCATTTTCTGGGTGTGAAATGCACAGTGGAGCAGGTGGAAAGACAGCAATGAGGCTGGGCTAGTTGAGTGCTGTGGTACAATCCACCTCCCCACTAGACAATCAGGGCATTCCACATCTCTCAACCACTCCACTGGTTTGGAGAATAACACACATCTGATTTCCAGTTGAACCTCTTCCCTGAGGTGTTGATAAATTGCACTCATAAACATCATCTTCCCTACCTGGTGGTGGGACCATTGAATATTCAGCATCTAGAAACAGGAAAGATGAAAACGTCTTCTATGAGTAAATAACATAGTGGTTCATGTTCAGTAGTTATTTTTACACTGTCATACAGAAAGTGTTTTCTTGCAAAGAACTAAAGCTGAGATCAGTCTGGGAGAGGAGTGGGGGTGGAGGGGACTTACCTGAACAGATCACACTGGCATCTTCCCCATGACCGCAGTTGTGGGAGAACCAGCCAACATGGGAACATTCCTCAAGGTGCTGCTCAGTTCCCCTGCAGTGCACATTGTCAAGGAGAATCTTCCCAGAGCCTTCCCCAAAGTAGGCCTCAGGCGGGGCTGAAATAGCCCAGCCGCATCCCAGCTGCCTGCAGATGATGTTTGCTTGTGGAAGGTCCCAGAGATCATCGCACACGGTCCCCCAGGCTTCCTGGTAGAAAAGTTCAACACGGCCTGCACAACGTTCATTGGTGCCTGCCAGCCGCACAGGGACCCAGCCTCCTGGGGGAAGAACAATGGGGACAAGAGATTATAGCTACCCCCTCTGCCCATTGAAGACTGTTGTCCGTGCAACTTACTCTCCATCCTTATGCTACCAGGAGGGAACCCGTGCCATTCCCCACCAGGTCTGCTCCATGCGTCTTATGATATCTTCCTTATGTATATCCTCTTTTAAGACAGTGTGCATACCTGTGGTGCCTGTGGCCATTATTTCTGTAAATGAAATGGCCATAGTTCTTTTCTTTCCTGTACCCATGCTCTTTACAATGTGACATTGTGGCCTCCCACTGAGAGGCTGGGCTTCTGTCTTCACTCCTTGGTGCTGAGATGGAAGCCTTTGGCTTGCCTGACCGCAAGAGAGTATGGCAGAATACTGTTCTGTGCACAGAGAGGGTGCAGGAGGCTTCTCACACTGCAGTTCACCCCTTGGACAGTCTGGAACATCATGTGCATAAGCTCAAGCTAGCCAGCGGGGTGATAAAGGATATGTAGCTTCGTTACCTCTATCACATCAGGTGACAGCCACAGAACTGCCAGATATGTGAAAGGGACCATCCTAGCCCAGTCTTTAATTGATCTGCCAGCCAGTCAGAGATACATGAGCAAACTAAGTTAAGATCATGTCTATCCCAGGTCAGCAGAACTGCCAGGCTCACTTATAGACTCACGAGAAATTATAAAAGATTATAGTTTTAAGTCACTATGTTTTGGGGTGGTATTACATGGCTACAGATAATTTATACATTTCTTTATTCATACTTCTTTTTAGATAACCTGATCTTCCCACAGCCAGGAGGCATGGGGCCAAAGTCATGTACCCTGGGACGGAGTCTGCCTGGTCAGCTGGGCTGCACTAGAAGGCATGTTTGACTCCAAACCAACCAATCCATGTGCTAGAGTGTGCCAGATTCTCTCTGCTGGACAATTGGAATTGCAAAGAGAGCTGGCAGACTCAGGATGACACTTCCACTGAGTCACCTGTGGGTAGGTAAGTGCATAGAGAAGCTGCTTAGAATAATGACTCATGGGAGGGGTAAAAGAGAGACACAGAATGTGAGAGAATGGCTGTTATGGTTTGTACTCCCTCAGTTGGGTTCTCTAAGACACCCCTACTACTTCCCTCCATAGACTCCTTCAGTGAATTTTTCTTGAGTGGGTATTTCTGCCATGAAACCAAATGCTCACTAAGAAAGGCTGAAAGGCCTCACATTTCTCTTCCTTCCCTTCCTTCTTTTTCATACCATCCACTTGCCTTGAAGTACACTATTCCATTATTCCTGTCTTTTTTTTTTTTTTTGTACCGGGGATTGAACTCAGGACCTTGTGCTTGTGAGGCAGGCGGAAGAACCACTGAGCTAAATCCCTGGCCTATTCCTGTCCTTTTAAATCTTTTCCTTCTTCAAGTTCTATTCCAGGTGCCTCTACTCCATGAAACTTTTGTGATCACAAAGGCCATGACTGGCATTTTCCTTTCCTAGCTCTTAGTTGTGGTACTCCTGGGCCTGGGCACACTGTCTTATGTAAAGCCAGTGACATTGTCTCCTCTCCCCAGCAAGTGGTAGGAGGCACTGGGAGGTGGAGTGCAAAGAGCAATGGATGTTGAGACAGGGAGATTGGGCCTGAAGTATGGCATCCCTAACTAGCTATGTGGCATTGAGGATAATAGTAATGACGTCACAAGCTACTGTGAGGGTAAAGAATGTGAAAGCACTCAGAAGACGGCTTTTCAGGGGTTTGTCTTGCTCCTGGGGGCACAGAACAGCAGAAGCAGGAGTCTGATGGTGCAGGAAAAGCATGACAAGGCCTCTATCCTGTGGCATAGACCACTTTCTCCCTGTGATACAGCTTTTTGTGTACAAGATTTGTCTCCCTACTAAGCTACAGATTCCCTGAGACCTGGGACTGTGTCTGAGTCATTCATGTGTTCACTGCTGGACCTGGTTCAGGGCTTATAAGATGCTAGGCATGCACAGTAAAAAGTTATTAAGCAAATGAAGAACACAAAGATGTAGAGTGTGAATTCCCACGATTGAAAGTCACAGATCCAACAATGGTGCCTTTGGTGCTTGCATGTTCCCAAGGCCATAGTCAGTGACTAGGAGTTGTAGCACCTGCTGGGCACTATTCCACCAGAGATCTTCTCAGTCCTGGGTGATGACATGGCTCCCTCATCCCTCCTTGACTCTTTTGGCTGCACACTAGATTAAGGGAATTGGTGGGTCCAATATTTTATTCTTGCTTTATCTTTCCCCAGTCTGAACTTACTTTGTAAAAATCTAAGATTCAACTAAAGACTGAATACCTTTATATATTACTCATTCCTGATCACAACAAAAAGCCATTTTGGAGAGCCCAAGTCACCCTACTCTTCACTTACTATGGTTATTGGCCAACCCTAGCATCTAACCTGGAATAATGTCTCCACCCTACAGTTCATAGGGAGTCTAACTACCTGATTTCTCTTCTGCCTGACACAATCCCATTACCCCATCACCCTTCAGGTCCTGGATTAGGTCATGTTTCCTCCTGTGTGATTCCTCAGGTCTGAATACAGACCCTCTTCAGAGTTGTCATGACACCCACCCACCCCTATTCACTACACAGTCATAGTGCCCCAGTATACTCAGCCTACATGAGGGTCAGTTTTGTTCATCTCTTTACAAGTCCTCATGGACATCTGTTCATTTCTTCATTGTCAGAGTTGCTCAGGAGACATAATACAAAATGACACAACCCTACCTGATGATGCAGAAGGTAGTTTTTGAGCCTCTGACGTCACTGATGGTGTGGGAAACAGGTGCTCATGGGCTAGTGATAGATAAAAAGAAAACATGGCCAGCAGAGATGATTCACAACATTGGAAAAAAGATAATTGGTGTTTCAAGGGGACATCTGCCTCCTGCCAGAATTCAGCAGGAGAAATGACGACACTGCTTTCTAAGGCCATCTTCCCAAAGTCACCATTTAGAGAAGAACATGGCATTGCTGCTTGCAGACTAACATGCACCTCGTGGCCACTAGAGAAAGAAAAACTGGCTCTGAGTGATCTGCTGTATGTGAGGCCATCAGTTGGCCACCATCTCTCTCCCAACATGTGCTACCACCATGACCTTATCTGAGCAAAGCAAGGAAGATCCCATAATGTATCTGTAAGGGGAGAATGTCAACTCTGAAATGGCACAAGGAAACCCTGTGGACTGACTGTGGAGGTGGTTATATAACTGTGGACAATAACCAAAATTCACCAAACTAGACCTCAAAATGGGTGAATTATATGGCATATAAAACAAACCTTAGTAAAAATAAAATGAATTGGCACATGGAAGGATGCTATGTAGATTTACAAACTCAGCATAGAATCTAGGTAGGGGTTTATTGTTAAATTCTTCAAACATTTTATATATTTGAAAATTTCAAACTTTTGGTGTGGGAGTGCCCTTTAATATCTATGACAAGACCTATGTCTCTGGTTTTTGACAAAAACACATATTATTCAGCCAATCCATGTGGCTGCTTATTGCCTCCTTGTTGGTCACAGAATGTCAAAGGCATAGAATTTTAGGGAACATGGGATCAAATGAGCCTGCCCTAATGATGAAACTGAGCGCCAACGTTATTCATTTGGTGAGAGGTCAGCCTGGATCAAACTCCTGCATCCTGGGGCCCTTCCCATCTCCCACATTGCCTTCCTCAAGTCAGCTTGTGACCAAAGGAGGAATCAGTGCAGGGTGAATGTCTGCCAGGTGCCAGGTACCTTATGCATTGTCACATTCAAGTCCTTATTCAAATCCCCTATATTATTTCTTCAATAAGGAGAAAATGAAGACAAGGTATGATGTTGACTTGGCTGAGGTCATATAACTGAGGGAGATCATATGTCACACCTGCCTCTTCTGTTGGGCTGTAAATCCCATAAAGGAAATGACAAAGGAATTTTGACTCCTGCTATGTATTCTGTACTTGAAAGAGTTTGACACAGCATGAATATCTGTTGAATGGATGGATGAGTGAGTGAATGAAGCTGGGAAACAAATGAAAACCTAACTGTAAACTTCGTAATTTTTTTTTACATCATGCCTTGTCTTGTATACAACACCGAAGGTAACACATGGTCTTACCTTTAGGCAGAACAACTGTGGAATCTGCACCTATCAATATGAAGAGAAATTGTGCATGTTATCATATTTTAATCAGTCAGTGTCTAGTGAGAGTTTATTACATGTTGAACAGAGGGAAGGAAAAGAAAGCAAGATCTTGCCCTTGAGGGTCTTGGCATTTCCTGGAGATGTGAGAGACGGACCAATCCCATGGCAGCTCAGGGTGGGCCACATGGAACCCACAGAGCTCATCTTTCGTGGAAATGACATTCTCACACACACACACACACACACACACACACACACACACTAACTCTTCTTGGGAATGTAGTAGATCCAAGCAGCTAACCAGAGAAACCATCCCTTGACTGTAAAGATTTATAAGCATGGCTCACAGGATGGACCCAGGCTCAGAAGTGGGGTGCTGTTCAGTTTGAAATTCCAGGATAAATGTGAATTTACAAGTCAGAATACTTGCCATAAAAAAAGCAAGTTCTCATATTTTGTGAGAAAAGTACAAATCGTTTGGGCACAAAACACTCAATTCTTTTATTGCCTTAATTGGTTGGCGCTGTCCCTGTGGACCCAAAACAACTTTCCAGTTGCAATCCCTTGCTCCCCTTCCCCTTCTGCTTTTGTGGCCCCTACTATTATCTGCACTGATGTGGTGGACAGAGTGTGTACTTGACACCTTCGCTAGATTACAGACATATTTAGGGCAGGGACTGAGAGATGGGGTAGTTAAGAGCATCAGTATTGGAGTTAGAACAGGACAAGCTATGTGAGCTCTCCAAGCTTCAGTCCCACATTTGCAGTATGGGTATAGCAAGAGAGACAAAGAAGATGACACAGGTAATGAGCTGGGCGTAGTCCCTTGTGCACAGTAGGTGCTCAATTAATGCGTGGTGCTACTCCTCTATTACTGCTGTCCCTGTGTCTGACCCTTTCCTTCCTATCTTCCCTCATCATGCCTACCACATATGTAATTGCTCATTAAGTAGTCACGCTAGCAATCTGAACACCCCAGTGAATTGAGTGTGTGTGTGTGTGTGTGTGTGTTTGCCAGGCTAGCCAAAAGACAAGCGGCTAGGAACTTTACATATATTATTGAATCCCCAATTATCCTTTTAATTAGGTCCTAGTATAACCCTCATATTACAGATGAGCTATCTGAGGCCTAAACAGATCAATAACCCAAGTAAACTCAGCTAAGTGGTGACATTCAAATGCAAAAAAAATCTCACTCTCTATGATTTGAACAGATATTACAGAGGGGACTCAGATCTCAGATAGGCTGCGGCTGGGATTGAAGCTGGGGACATGTTGGGGAAGAGGACAAGGATAGAGGAGGTAGAACAGATGGTCATGAAGTTCAGGTGTTTCTGCACCTTAGCATGAATCGTTGTTGGTTCTGTTGCCTCAGAGTCAGCAAATGACTCAGGAGCAATGCCAGAGAGAGAACAGGACATCTGCCTTAAGTAAGTAGGAGCCAGTGCATTTACCAAGTGTTATTTTTGTGGCAGGCACATGTCAAACATTCTGTCTGGGTGATCTTGCTTTGTCCTCACAAACACCCAAGGAGGAGACTATTTTATCCTATTTTACAAATGCAGAAACTGGGGCTCAGGGAGAGTGAATTACCTGTTCATGATGTCACAACTTCAAAATGTCTTTACTGGAATGTGGAATCAAGTCTATTTGTTTTAAAAGTCAACCCCAAGAGCTTATTTCTGACTGAAATGACAGTTAGGAAAAAGAAGGCAATAATATGAAGTCTAACACTTTATTGCCTACTTTATCTTCTTCCTTGATGTAAAGAGATGAGCATAAGGAGAAAATTGAGAAAATTCAATTCAGAATTTTCTCCAAACATCCACCCAAATTTAAACCACGCAGGTAAGTCTTGTCAGGTAGAAAGACAGACACCAGAGTCCACTGTGACTGGTCTTTATTAGCCAAATATCTGTAGGAGTACACTATTGTGGACAGAAAGTGTCTTGGTGAAAAATATAACTGAATATAGTGACTTTATTATCTGTGTGACATTACACAGAAGATTGATGTCACAATTATTTGAAAATGTGGTTTAAATCTGGCAACAATCAGCTGATGACTTATTATGAAGCCTTTTTATTGAATGACATATATGGCTTCCCATTTTTCAATTCTGCGTCAGATATTTGGATGGATCAACACAGATACCATTTATTGAACACTGATTATGTGTCAGGATTTGTTTAAATTCTCCATATTCATCATCTCTTTGTAAACTCTCAAAAAACATCTGAGGTAGCACTATTATTTTCTCCACTTCTTAAGTGAACCATTTGAGCCTCAGGCAAGGCAATTGACACTCAAGCTCACGCAGCCAGCTTCAGCACACAGGATTTGAACGGCTTTGCTTATAATTCTACTCTTTTGCTGCTTTCTTAACTATTTAGCAATGGTTGATAGATTCTTATGATTCAAATAAAAAACTGTGCTGCCCAGGACAAACTCCATGTATAAGAAGACCACAGGAGATCTGCCAGTTTTGAGGGGGCAATGGTAGAAATAACTCCTCTATTTGTTAGTTAGAAAGAATGTAGAGGTTGTTAACTTTGCCGGGCATAGTGGTGCATGCCTGTAATCCCAATCAACTCAGGAGGCTGAGGCAGGAGAATCACAAATTTGAGACCAACCTGGGAAACTTATCCAGATCTTGTCTCAAAATTTTAAAAAAATGCCTGGGGTTGTAGTCACTGGTAGATTCGCCTAGCAAGTACAAAGCCCCAGGTTCAATTCCCAGTACCACCAAAAAGTGGCTAAAATCAGGAAAATGATATTTCTGGGCTCTGAGAAAATAAGAGGGCCATGTACCCTTCATCTCCAGATCTTCTGTTTCTAAGGATGAGAGCAATGTTTTGGGAATCAGACATAGAGTGGAAACCTGCTTAGGTTTTTTCTGCTGTTTGGGGAGGAATTAAATCACAAGAGGGGTGGCTCAGTTGACAGTGCTAAGAAAACACTCAAGACTGTTCAGCAGACAAGCCCCTGGTAAACTCTGCATATTTTGTCATATGATTTGCTCTGACCCCAGTGCCCTTGGGAGGGTCTTACTGGAAGTCATGAGACTTGCTGGTTTTGCTGGAGTGGTGACTAGGGTTTTGTGATCAGCAGTGGAGGGGCACTTGGAGAGACATTATGGAATACAAAAGAATGCATCGTCTCTTTCTTGCATCACCCAGCAGGTGCACAGTGGGTGGAATGGGCCCTTGGGGCACTCTAAGTGGTACTACTCAGGAACCGTGACAGCAAGAGGAAGAAGTGATTGAAACAAGGCTGCTTCATTTTGCTTCTTCTGTCTTTACAAAGGAGCATGCTGTTTTGTTTCTATTTCCATGCTTGTTCGTTATTGTACCACGAGGGAGACAGAGAAAAGCATTTCTAGTACCACTAGACAGATGAGGAAACTGTGGCACAGTGAGCCTAGATGACTAGCTCAAGGAAGCCCCAGCAGCTGGCACACATGCCAGAGAGTAGGAGCCCACTGTCCCACTACTGGGCACAGGCATTACCTGGCCCCCTAGTGGCATTACCTTTCCCCATCCTCTCTTGTGCCCCACTAGAAGAGATTAAGAAGGAAGATGTAATGATCCAGTGCATACACTTTCGCCTACCTTCTGGTTGGGAGGTGGATGATTTAGCATCTACAGGATAAAGAGAGAAAATTTGAGTGAACCACATAGACTCATCATCAGAATGCATCCAAATGCTTCTATGGCATCTCTATGATCCTAGCATCCTGAGTGGGGACTGCCATGGAGAATTAATAGCAGCCACTGGCAGGCCAGGTAGACCTGAGGTCATCATACCAGCTCAAATGTATATTTGGGGAATGCTTCAGAGTGACGAGACCCCTTTCTGGTCTTTCTGTCTGCATGATTTCCATTGGCTGCTTAAAGAAATGCTCTTGTGGGTAACCATTTTTGCCTTGGGATGTCAGATTGCTTCAAAGAGCCCCCAGCTACCCAGGAACCACTTCCTTTGGGGACCCAAGATCCTGACTTGCACTGGCAAAGTCTGCTCTCTTCTTACCAGACCCTTCCAAGCCATTCATAGCAGTAGATTAGTGGACAGGACCACAAAGCAGATTTTCTCAGATATTTGGGACACTTCCTCCAGTCTGTGACTCTGGGGGTGTTTTGCCTTATTGGGAAAAGACACCTATGTGGGACATAGGATGGTGAGCAACAGTGTTGTCCAATGGAAAATGGACCTCCCCAGGCAATGAGGGCTAGGAGGAGGAGTCCTACCTGTAGGTGTGAGTGTGGTCTGTGGAGTTGCAGGCCAGAGAGAGAATGTGAAGAGATTTCCTCCAGCTGCAGGAAAGAGGGTAAGGACAAGGAAAAATACCACCTTGTGAGTCACTGGTTGACAACACCTTCCCCTGCCTTAATGACAAGGCATGGACATTGTGCCCTGCCACTATTTCTGAGACCTGAAGAGGTCAAATCATGTCAAATACACAACTATTTCTTTCTCACTCTCTTTTTGAGTTGATTATTTTATCATTTTATAAAGCGGTACCTCAGTTCACAAATGCTTTTGTTGGCAAACAATTTGGTTCACAAAACTGACAAAATTTTGATTTTGTTTGCAAGCTTTACATTGAGTGACAAGTGTGACTGAGGCCTTCTTTCCTGCGCAAATACAAATGTGACCATATTTTCCAAAATTGTGGAATATATTAAGTTTGTGCACCAAGGTACCACTGTAGTTACAAAAGAGACACATGTTCCTTAGGAAGAATTGGGTAAAACAAGTAGGGAGAAAACAATAACCTCTCATAAGTGTGCTAGCCAGGGATAATCTCTGCACCCAGTGGGCATGTAGCATCCTTAACTTTTATAGGATTTTGTTCATATAATGCAGATGTACATATACACATATAGAATGAGAATTTTTAGTTCTGGGTACCCAGGAATTAGCTAACTTAAACACGGTATCTAAGTAGTTACTTATCCTTCCACATTTACCCCTGGCCAAAGTGGCCCAATCTTAAACATGCCCAGTTTATCTTACCTACTGATATACTGTCTGGAGAATCTGCACCTATTAGAGGTTGGGAGATGGTTTCCACAAGGTAGAGAGAAGGAAGGAAAGTACGTTAAGTATCACCTGCCAGAAAGAACATCCCCAGGTATGTGTGATCAGCTGACCAGTGGCATAGAACCCTCTGATTTGAGGAGTTTGTTAAAATTGGGGAGCTCCTAAAATTCCAGCATCTCAGATTCAGGGTGGTACTAGGGTGGGTCAGAACATCTTAACAAGTAACTGTGAAGAGACCTGGACCCACTGGAGCTGAGAACTCCCGAGGTGTGATTTGGGGTCTTCACTACTGTTGTCCATGGTCTATTAGTCCCTGATGATGCTATGACAGATTTAGTGAGACCTAGAGGAGCCCCAAAGAGAAGGGACAGGAATAGTTATGGAGATGATCTAAGTCACTGATGGTGGTTCTACTTCTACCCTTTCCCTACTTTCCACTCAGCTCCTGGACCAGAGAAGCTGCCATCTCTGTAACATAAGTTGTCTTCCTTCTTACAGAAGCTTGTCCTTTCTTGTCACTGATTGTTTCTCTCTTTGTCTGGGACCCAGAGCCTCATTTGTGGCCATGTGCACTGGGTCCTATGAAAAACATTTAGATGGTGTCTTTAGCTTATTCCTTTCCTTTGATTTGTCCTAGTTCCTGCACATATTGATTGTATTCTGCTTTGTTTTATGTATTTTTCCTTCTTCCTCAAACTTGACTCCATTCATACCTTTTCTAATTATGTATTTATTGTGATTGTTTTTTAATGTTTTGGTTGCATCATCAGTGCACAGATAGGGTAACCTGGTTAACTTCCATAATTCTGGTGCTTATCAAGGACCCCACAAGTAAGTGGACTTAATCAATGTTTTCTAAAAGAATGCAATAGGCAAGATATAAGAAACATAACTAAGTGGCACAGATCATTCTTTCACACCTTTTGACCCAATAAAGGGAACAAAAATGGAACCTGGCCTAACACAGATGGGGACTAATATACACAGGGTGAGTTTTATTCTCTTTCTTAGTGCACAGTGAAATTCCCACATGATTGCCCAACTCTGAGCTCAGATGCTGCCTGGTTGGTAAGCAAGCTGCATAAAGCCAGCACCTGGAGGTGGAGGACTCTGTAGATGGAACTGCAGAGCACACTCTTTTATCAGGGAGGGCAGTGGCCCCCGGGCAAGATGAACCTGAAAGAAGACAAGAAGGCAGTCTTTGGCTCTCAGTGGAGCTCCACAGATGATATTCATGAGTGTTTCATCTGCTTAACAAAGTAAAGTTAGTACTGCCTCATGGAGTAGTGATTGAAGACTGTCACCTTTCAAGTGTGTTATAGTTTAGATCTAAAATGATGCCCAAAACCTCATGTGTTTGAAAAGTGACTGGATTATGGGGGTGTTACAACTGACTTGTTGGAAGAGGCAGGATACGGAAGCATAACTTGGAAGGGTATTCTTCTTCTCCCATTTCTCCCTTCACTCTGTGCTTCCTGGCCACCATGATGTGAGCAGCTTTTTTCCATCCCAAACCCTTCCACCATGCTCCCAACAATGAAAAGACTGAAATTTCTGAAATGTGAGCCAAAATACATCTCTCTTCCTTTAAGTTGTGAGTTTGGGTATTTGTCCCAACAATGAGGAAAGTGACTAAGACAAATTATGAGAGAATATCTATCATGTACACACTCTCATGTATCATGCTATCTGTAACAGCACTGGTCCTTTGGGGTGAGAGGCTGGGGAATAAAGTTTCTCAATGAAATGAGGACTGACAGCCACCACTTCACCTGCACAGATATACTGGCATCCTCTAGGAGCCCATAGTTGTGCCAGCCTGGCCCCTGGGGCACTGCCCCAGGTGGCTCTCACTGCCCACATACTGTACATTGTCCAACAGGATCTTCCCAGAGCCTGCCCCGAAGTGAGCCCTTGTAGAAGCTGCTGCTGCCTGGCTGTACTGAAACTGTTGGCACACAAGAGTGGGCTCAGCCAAGTCCCAGAGGTCATCACACATCATCTCCCACATGCTCTTAATGAAGACCTCCACAGGATCTGAGCACATCCTTGTGCCATTCAGCACCCTCACCCCCATCCATGCTCCTGGGCACAAGGATATACAACAGTGGGAACTAGCCTCTGGGTTCAGGATATTGCCTTGATTCTTAGGCTACTATTTCCATATACTCATATCAATTACATACCACAAAATAATGATTATGATGCTGATGATAATATAATTATACTGCTTCATGAGTATAACTACACTACAGGCAACATCATATGCTTTACAAGATTTGATCTTAATTGACCTTCACAACAAGTCTTTGATCTTTTTTGCTAATGAAGAAAATGTGAATCAAAGAGTTCAAGTAATCTGCCCAAGGGCAAATACCTCTACATAGCCATCTTGAACTTAAATGCAAACATTCTAAAAGAAATTTAAATTTTGACCAATTTTTACACTGTCTTTAAGAACATGAGACTTAATTTCGCTACTGAGAAATGAATCAGATACCATAATTTGCAGCATGCACTAAATTTAAGCATGAATTTGTAGCATGAACTAAAATATAATTTGCAAAATGGATAAATTATATAAAACCATGACATCCAAAACGTATTACCTAAACAGCTTTATAAACTCATCTATTTCACAATAAGAGTATAACTAATCTGGTTTTAATAGCATTTTTGAGTGAACCCATATTTCTTTTTTTTCCCATATTTCAACAGTAGGAACTCTAATTGTTCTAACTTACCCTGTATACAATTCTGGCCTATCACTATCATGCTACAAAAGGGGATGTTGGTTGAGAACCAGTAGAAGAGCTTTTGATTTTTCCCTACCTACAGACAGGAAATTTATTCCCTGGATGAATTAATTCCCAGGGATTCATTCTTGCAGACATCAGGAAAGCTGAGACTAGGCTGAGACTCAGATATATCACATATATTTTTCCACTCTGCTGTTGGAAAACCAGCAGGCAAACGTATTACCTCACTTCCATCATCTGCCACATTCTTAAATACAGACACACAGCTAGCTGGTAATGCCCAGATCTCTGAGAAATGCCTCTACCTTAAGAAACGTAACTAGAACAGATAGAAAACCAGAGAAGAGAAACAGGAACATCAAAAGGAACAGAATAATATTATGAGTAGAAAACAATAGTACAGATACCAAGAAAGTTAGAGAAAGTACCACATCTGTGAAACAAGAACAGGAAGCTATGAAAAATGAAAGGTCAGACAAGAAGAAAGTGCTCTTGAAATTGAGAAATAAAAGTGCTGAAACTTTTAAAAAATCAATAAAATACCTAGAAGATAATGTTGAAGAAAACTTGAGTAAGAGAAAAAGAATTTGAAGATGCAAAATTAAAGACAACTCACAAAATTTAACATATCAACATAGGAAATCCAACATCTACTTGAAGAATTTTTAAGAGAATAAACAGAATTAGTAAAGAAGAAATTATTAAATAATTCAATAAAAATTTGTAAGAACTGAAGGATATGCACTTCTAAACTAAAAGCTTAAACTGTGAGCAGGATAATGTATGAAACACGCAGAACAAGGTAAATCACCATGAAGCTCAAAACACAAAGAACTATGAAAGGTCCTAGAAGTTTTCAGAAAAATAAAAGCACACAAAAAATCCAAAATACATCAAGTTTACAATATCCTAATTAAGGTCTTGATGCACTTGGGTCTTAGAAAGTAGGTCTGCTACAAGTTTATCTCAATCTAATACTGTCTTCCCAAAAAGTAGTTGGTCAAATATAAGCATATAAATTTGAGAACAGATAGATATGTGTTTAAGTCTCGACTTTACCACTTTCTAGTCAATTAATTCTAGGAAAACTAATTTTTCTGTGACTCATATGTTAAAAAGTGAGGGTGAGGCAGGGTACCTTTACTTGTAGGTTTCTGTGATCATAAAATGAAGTATTAGTTATTTGAAAGCTTCCAGTTCTCTGCTGACCACATTTTGGTTACATAAATAATGGTTCCTTCTCCCATTTTCCCAAAGACTTACCTGCCAGGGGAGGGGGTGTAGGTTGCAGGGTCACACGATCTGTTATTGCTATGGTTGCAGATAATCCATCACCTGTCACAAAGACAACCATAGGAGTCCCTATTAAGACTTCCATAAACCCAGCTTGGGACAGCAGATTTGAAAACATACACAGCCCAAGATTTACTGTCAAATATGCAATTTATATTCAATTCTTCTAGAGGGAAGTAGTCTCCACAGGGATCTAGCTGGCACTCCTTGGTGTGGCTTCAGGTCTGGGATATGCCAGGTCAGTGCTGGGTACATGGGTCCTTTTCCCCACCTTACCCCCACCCCCGAACAAATGGCAACTGACCTGCTGGAGTGGGGTTCAGGGGAAGTGCAGCAGGTTCTGTGGTAGACACAGGTGCCAATAATGCCTGACCTGTGAGTGCAAAATAAAGAGAGGCCTTGTTCACTGCTGAACACCTCCTCACCACCCAAGAAGACAAGAGCCCAGAGAGAATAGCTGCTTAAGTAAAAGCATATACTTCTGCCCAGTCTGCCCTACCAATGGTTGTTTGGCTCCCCCATCTCCTTTTCTACCATATTCATCCAGCTGTGGATATTACATTCCACAGCAGGATGGAAAGTGCTAGAACTTTGAGGATATATATCCTTGGCTGGGACACTGCAGCTAAGTGCCCAGAAAACCATTTGTGTGTTGCTTCTTTTCCTTTTAGCAGCAATCCAGACGTGTTCATCCAGGGTCATGGAAGTGAATGGAATAGCTGGGGATTTTGGTTTCCATCTAGGTCTTTGGTGGCTATATCTGAGTTCTCAGTATGTCAGGCTTCCATAGAGCACTAAGGCACCTAGCCCTATTTTCATCTTACTAACTCGTAGAACAGTAATCAGATATTGTAATGTGTCCTTTTAAAAGGCATCTCAAATAATTAGAGAAAAATGTTGAGACCTGATAAAACTCAGAATAGGCTCCCTGGCATTCATTCTATTTTTCTCAATATTTATCAATAAGTTTGTTACCTCTTATGATATTCTTTGATATATGTATGTAAATAAAACAATTGCATGGCCATTTTATTAGTGCAATCAGTTTCAGTCATTTGCATCTAGACTATCCAAAAGTAATTAAACTATTAAATTTTTTCTCATCTGGCCCACATGGTTCAATGTAGAATCAGTCTTAATGTTGGAAATGTACAGAGCTTTTTTTCTGTACATTCAACAGTGAAGCAGCTGTTGGTGCACTGTACTCAGGTTGAAGAGGGAAGTTTTGTGAGTCTATGAATGTTTCATTGACCATCATTTGTTTTTTTTGTCCATGTTATCAAATATTGGATCTACTGCTTTCCTATATGTGTAGAGTGAGGAATGCTTCATTGTTAAATGTTCCCTGAGTTCTCTTCCAATCACTTGTTTGATTGCTTCTGCAACTTTTAAGATTCTCAAAAGTAAAAGGATTATTATACAAACGGCTACCAATTTGCAAATCTAAGTAGTTTTGGTCACCTTGGTATCACTTGGGAGATATTAATTCAATCCTAACTGATATTTTTCTAACTGGCCAAGCTCCTGAACCATTTGGAGACAGCTAAACATTTCCAATGTGCAGTATTCTTTGGGAAAGTTGAGGAATTATTTAAGAAGTCTAGATGATGAGTGAGAAACTTTTTGCCCCTTATGTTCTGTGCCCCACTGTGTGATGTGGAGTGGTATGGAATGGATGTTAACTCTTACACCCTGGACTGATGCAACCTCACAGGATCATGGACTATATGCCTACAGGGACCATCAAAGCATGTGACACAAGGTCACCTGCAAGAGGAGGCAATGCCCAGTGCATTCTAGGAGAATGATGCCCTGAAGTTACATAGTACAAAGGCTTTGCTTCCCTAGCTTGTAAAAGGGACATTCTAGGGAGGAAAAACTACAAAGTAGAGGAACCAGGTAAAGATTGGACCAACCCAGGTATGACATGGTGGCAGCTTCTGGCTCTATTATTGGAGTGGGGTCTGGTGAATGGTCCATACCTGGTGGTCAAAAGAAACCAACATTTAAGATCTACAGTACAGTATTATTTACATTATGATCTTCAGTGACTTTTAAAAACATAAGTTGAATATGTATGAAAAAACAAAGTGACAGCCTTGCACCAGGGGAGGCAATGCCAGAGTTTCATGAATTAGATTAGTGCTTGTGAGTTATTTGGAGACAATTGATATGTTTTAACAATTCATGGGGGAGGCACGGAGAGACCATGATACAATAATTATTCCATTGCCTAAACATCTCATCTTCTGTTTATTCTTATCTACAGACATGTTGAGAAGAACATACCCCTTTGACTGTGACGTAGAATGGAGTTTTACTCTTCTATCCTGGGAAGGGTTCTACTGTGACTTGACAAAATGAATTTTAGAAGACAGAGCTCACATAAAACAAGTTACCCAAAGCCTGGACTAACCTGAGAGCATGTGTGACAGTCATGTGGCTCCAGGCTCTGTGGAGGGTGGGGGCTGGAGAGCCATCCAGCCTGAAGGTTGACAGAGCTCAATATACCAAGATGCATGAGGCTGATTAAATGTTTATTCGATGATTTCTATCAGTGACAGCTGATGTGACAATGGGGAAGTCCTGGGAGATAAACAACCTCTTACCTGTGCAGACCACACCAGCGTCCGCCAGGTGCCCACAGTTGTGTCCAGCCTGGCTCCCGTGCATGCACTGGCCCAGGTGGGTCTCGCTGCCCACACATTGCACATCATCTAGCAGGATCATCCCAGATCCTGCCCAGAAGTGGGCCCCCACGGGGGCTGCCACTGCCTGGCCACACTGTAGCTGGCGGCACACGACAGTGGCCTCGGCCAGGTCCCAGAGGTCATCACACACCGTCCCCCACATGCCCTGGATGAGGACCTCCACGCGGCCTGAACACCTCCCTGTGCCATTCAGTAGCTTCACCTCCATCCAGGCTCCCGGGGGACACAAAGGAGAGGGGCACTGGGCACTGGCCTCTGGTGTCAGAGATATTTCTTCTATCCTCTCTGGATCTGAGTCTATTTATCACAAAAACCTGTGTTACACATGTAACTAGGAGAACAAACCAAAGTCATCCTCAATTTAAGTGACAGATTTTTGTTTAAAACCTCCAGTTAGAACAAAGTGGTTTTGCCTTCAGTTCTCTCTTTTCCTTTTTAAAATCAGTATGTGTTTAGGATACATAGTAAGTAATTCATTGAGGGGAATTGGTACACATTATGATCCTTTTTATTTCCCCTTCTTCTCCCCTCCATCTTGTCTTCCCTCACCCCACAATCCCCTTCCCATCTCTGCTCCATAGTCTATCTCCCTGTTTCCTATATATATATGAAAAGTTTATGGAAGGCCCCAATGTACTCCAAACAAGGACACATTATCCATCACGTAATTTCATTGCACAGACGGGCAAAAATATATAAAATAGACTAGTTTATAGCAACACATTTAAGTCTTGACTCCATGTTTACAATAATAGTTAAGTCATGTCCTGATATCCAGAATGCCTATACCCATATTAGCCTTAATGTTTTCTAACACACTGGCTCTCACGACTATAATTTGTGAATTTGTAGGAGACAGCTGAACATACACATGTGTCTAGAAGTCTTACAATTCACTTTTTGTACATTCTATCCCCCTTTTTAAAAGCTATTCATTCACCATCCCAGAAGGGACACTGTATTTGCTTCAGAGAAAGACACAGACTCAGGTAAGGCACCTGAACTGCTCAAGATCACACATCTAGAAAGTGGAGGAACTTCCTGGCCTTTCCCTTCCACACAGGTGCCTCCCAAAGTGACTCTGACTATCATTTTCCATCTAGTGAACTGATGCTTGGGATCACCTGCATCTCTGACCTCATTTTCCAGGCAAGTCTTTTCATACCTGTTGATGAAAGTGTAGAGGACGCAGGGATTTTGGCCAAGGAAGTCTCTGAGGCAACCTTAACTACATGGAGAATGTAAAAGTTATTATCAGTAACAATGTAACATAAAACTGGAAATAAAAAGAAATGAGAATTTCTTTAAGAATCCAACCTGAGGGTTAGTAGTGGTCTTATTTGGGAGATTATCTTTCATCTAAGTCACCATCATCTGTCACTTGATTTTGTGTGTGACCATTTCCTACCACAAAGGTAATGGATCCTACAGAACTGCCGTGATTTCACCAGAGCCAAGTGCAGGAGACCAGGTCCCTGGGTAGCCACAGCCAGCACAGTTCTGTACCCCTCCCACCTGTAGTTCTCAGGATAATTGCAGAATATGCTGAGAATGCATCATCTGGGGATAAAGAGGCATTGTCCAGGACCGCCTGGGCTTTACCTTGTCCCCCCCTAGAACTGAGTGTTCTGCAATGCGCATCTAGTTGCTCCTGGGATTAGACCAAGAACAGAGTGCTTCAAGGTCCCTCAGCTGCTGTGTGAAGTGGAGCATGTGCTGAGGAGACTCCATCGGCCTGGATGACTTTCCTGAGCCTTGGGGGACCAGCTCCTCTTGGGCCCTAGGCATCTATCTATCCTCACCTGTCTGTGAATAATAAAGTTGCTTTACCCAATTTGCCATATAAGTGTTCTGCTGGCCAGTGAAGATGCAGAACTGCTGTGGCACCTGGCTCTGTTTGAGCCTCTATCAGAATCAGAGCCCTGTAGCACCAATTAGCTCAGTTTAAGTAGAGTTGCTTATCAAATTAAGACTTTAACACAAAGATAAGGTTATCAAGCCTACTGCCTAGTAAGCTACCCAACATTAATTAATGTTTTGCATCATTGCTATTAGGATGTTTAGTCAATCAAACAGCACCCATAGAATGGGCTATTTATTACTGGAATCATAAGAGTTCCTGCAAAATACAGTCCCTGTATTGAGTTGGGAGCTAGTAGAAGTATCCGGATAGCTTTTTCACTGAAGACAGAATGAGTACAATGCCAGGAAAGCAGCAGAAATGATACAGCCTGAGAAAAGATATGGCTGATGGTAGAGATTTTATAACAGGAATCAGAACAAACATCGAATTTAATAAGGAGAGGCACTGGAAACGTGATGGATACAGGAGTATTCCAGGCAAAGAGAAAAATTCTCATTTTTAAGATGTGTTGTTTTACAGAATAATTAGGAGGAGAGTTGGAGCCCAAGGTCACGAAGAAATTTAGCATACTCAAGGAGACAAGATCACTTAAAACAACTTGATTAGACCTCTCTATAACTATTCATGAATATTGCTCTAAGCAATTGTAACTGAGTATTTCTCAAACTAATTTTTTCAGACACTCAGATTTAGTGCCCATCTCAGTGAACAGGAGCTTAGTAGTTAAATCAGCAGGGAAAACCTGGGGTAACATAATCCTCTGTTAGAGAATCCTGGTGCTCACTAGCAGAGGGATTAATATTACTTAACAGCCCTCTTAGAGAATAAAGATTTCTAATATGGTTCCTAATTAACTGATAAAGTTGGTTCTATACGTCTCTTACAACTCTTATGTCTAGTGTATTTAAACATGAAAAATATGAAACATATAAAGACTATTCTTATGAATGCTTATTTTAGACTTATTGTCATTATTTGAATATGAATGGTAGAAAGAAGTCAATAGTTGGTGTCAAAGGAAACACATCCAACATTGATAAAGTGCTACCTCTAATAATACAAAAAGAATTAAGCAAAAAAGGTATCTTAATCTTAAAATGGACCCATAATCTTTTTGGTGTCAGGTAAATTAGAGATCCAGTTTCAAGGGGTCTCAATGAGAGCCTGTCCAGCCTCAGATCCCATACTGACTACACCCTTTATGGATGCCAATCATAGCATCTTCATTGTCAAATGGGGAGAACATTTTCCCTGTCTAACAGAAAGGATTTGGTGGGAGGGAGATTAGAAGAAATAATAGGTGTGAATATTGAAGGAATTCAACTGCCAGCATCCTGATCAGAGACCCCTCTAAACTGTTCCCTGCCAGCACAGCTGCACCTGGGGACTCCTAACACTACCAGCCCTGCTACTGAGAGTAGCCACTATTCCCTGTGCTTTCCCAAGCCTTGTCCTTGGGCAACAAGTACTGTTGTGCTCTCTCAAGCTTTGTTCTTGGCAGGTGGTCACAACCCCCTTTCTCTGAACTTCCCCCTCCTCAGGACCCTATGAAAGACCCCATAGCCTGTATGAGAGCTGCTGGTCTGGTCTCTAGTGCCAGAGCGGTCCCTCTCAGATTTGTTCTGAAATAAACCTGTCCCATTGAGCTCATACCTTTGTTTCTTTTCCTTTTTTCCTAACAGATATGCTCTATGTTAAAAGTACTGCACAAATATTTATGGTTATTATAGTCATAAAAAGCTATGTGCTAATGAGAAAGTTAAAAAAAGATTAGGCATCCTTATAGGGATGCATTTTGCATTAAGTGCAATATAATGTGTGTAGAAGAAAAAAGAAAATATAAGTAAACAATACTTTAACAAACAATTAGATATAAAAAAACCAATTAGATATATTTCAAATTATGTGATATTTAGCATTCACAATGTAGCAACACATTAAAAATTCATTGTCTTCATGTCATTTTCTTAATATGTCTGGCTAATAGTCATCTCTGTTATTACTTTCAGGACAAAGCAGATTTGGTACAGTAGAGCTGCCTGACTCAATGTATTCACATATAGAAGGGAGAAAGTATCACTTTCCCGGTGGTATTTTCTTGATGAGAAGAGCCAGGGAGGACACAATAACGGGGAAGTCCCTAGTGCTGACTCTGGTACGTGTGCTTGTGGGTGGTGGGGTTGTCATTATTGTCCCTCATTTTTCTCTGCTCCAAGAGCAAGCTCTAAGAAACTTACTGTAAAGACTCACCTTCTGGGCTGAGCATCAGTTTCAGGGCAGCAGATTCGGAGAAAGGAAATGTGGTTGAAGATGCACATCCTATCAGTGTGAAAAATTGGAGGAGGAGAATATTCACGCTAAATTAAATACTGTCAGGGGTAACACTCGGCCCCTCCTGATATTTCCTTCCATGCAGCACTAGCTCTTTCCCATTCCTTCCTCACTTCAGCTCACGAAAGCCACTGGCTAATTCTGCCCTTTTTCCTCTTTGGAAGCCAGCCTGCCCTCAGAGCAAACATCTGCTCTGATCCTTTCAGACAGGCCTTCCACACTGAGCTTCATTCTTCACCCTGAGGTGGCTTGGCATTTTGGTCTCCATCTCACATTCCTTTCTCTCATTTCCTTAATTGTCCAAATCTCAGTTGGAGACAAAAATAGCATTAATTAATTTTCCCCTTGGAAGATACCATATGCAGTACCACCAGAAATAAAGATTTGGGCAGGAAAGAAAGCTCCATTCCCCATCTCTTTCTTGTCCCCTCTATCCTGGTCACTGAATTTCTGCAGAAGGATGAAGGAATCAAACATTTTTACGATTCCAGATCTTTAAATGCACAGAAAACTGGTTCTGAAATTTATTGGTTGGCATGATTCTTGGTCCTTTTCAGAAAATATGCATAATGTCTCTTTTACATTACGAAAATGTTTAAGCTGTTCAATTTTCACCTAGAAGCTGGATAACACATTGTGTTCTTTAAGAAATGCATCTACAAGTGACTTGTGGACATAACTTTCCCCCTCATTTTGTCTCATAAAAAATCTACTGGTCATGTAGTAGTTATGAAATCATTTTAATGATCAGACTATCAAGCAACAGATGAGCTATGAGACTTTAAGAATGAGATAGATAAAAACACAAGTTATGTGACTTTTATCTTTCACTTAGCCATATGATAGCATATGGAATGGCCTTGACCAATTCAATGGGCAAGTATCAGACCTGTTGGTGAAGCAGTTGGAAAGCCAGTTTCCTAGGGATGAGAAGAGATAAATCTGCCTGTCTGGACACATCTATCCTGTCTTCTTTCACTTCCTTTTGTTCCCCAAACAGAGAATTGGCTGTATTCTCCTAACTAATATATATATAGTTTTTGGTATCAGGAATCGAACTCAAGTCCTTGCACTTGTGCAGCAGGGGGCAAAACCGCTGAGCTAAATTCCCGGGCCATCTCCTAACTAATATTACAGGTGAAAAAAATAAATATTTCCTGGAGGTCTGCCCCTCCCCCAGGTACCTGCACCTGCCTTTCTCATAGACTTGAATCAGAGCCTTTCTGTGATGAGCCATTTGCACCCCTTGTCAAACCTAAGCTTTTACAAAGTTGCAATCCTCAAAGGTGTTTCTTTGTAATTCTCTTATGAGTACACGAATTATTTGCAGATATTTGATCTTTTCTAACATAACTATTGGCAAAAAATTGAGAAATTTTGGTGAAATTCATTTGCTGCAGTAATTATTCCATTGCCTAAACATCTCATTCTCTGTTTTTATCCTTTTCATGGACATATTCCTTTGACTGAGATGAGGAATGGAATTTTGCTCTTCTAGTGTGAGAAAAGCTCTATAATGACTTAACAAGGAAAGTTAGAAAAGTTTAGTGTTATGGCTGTGTGTTTAGAGGTCCCCTCAAAGCCTCATATGTGGTCAGGTGGGGCTTTTTCAGAGGTGGCTGGATCTAGAGTGTGTAACGCTGGGATTGACTTAAGGTGCAATGCTAGGCTCAAGGGCACTAGGAGTAAGGGTGTGAGTGCTACCTGCCCTAAGTAGCCTGGATGAGGCATAAGAAGCAGAAAGAGCTGTGGTCATCCCTGGCTTGTTTTTCTACCTTCTGTTTGCCATGAACTGTTTCTCCTCTGCATCTGCCCCACCACCCTGCCTTGCAGGTAGCTGAGTATGAACTGAAACCACTACAAACTGTGGGCTAAATAAACTTTCCTCCTTTAACTTTGGGTGTCAGATATTTTGTCTCAGCAACAAGAAAAGTAACTATGATGTTTACCCAAAGCAAACCACCCACAGATTGCACCTACCTGGGAGTATGCGAGACAGCAGTGTGGCTTCAGGCTCTGAGGTGGGGATGGGGGCTGGAGAACCATCTGCACCTGATGAAGAGTCAAGGTCTGTGAGGCGTTTATAACGGGCTGTCCAGTGGTTCTGTTAGTGTTGGCTGAATGTGACAATTCTGAAGTCCCGGGAACTCACAGCCCTCACCTGTGCAGACCACACCGGCATCCTCCAGGTGCCCACAGTTGTGTCTGGCCTGGCCCCTGTGCACGCACTGCCCCAGGTGGCTCTCACTGCCCATGCACTGTACATTGTCCAGCAGGATCTTTCCAGAGCCTGCTCCAAAGTGGGCCCCTGTGGGTGCTGCTACAGCCTGGCCACACTGCAGCTGGCGGCACACGACAGTGGCTTCAGCCAGGTCCCAGAGGTCGTCACACACCGTCCTCCATGTTGCCTGGACAAGGACCTCCACGCGGCCTGAGCACCTCCCTGTGCCGTTCAGCAGCCTCACCTCCATCTGGTGTCCTGGGGTGGGGGACACAAAGAGAGACTTGAGGCCTGGCCTTGGGTGCAGATTTCCTTCAACTTTTAGACTGGTCCTAGCTATTTTACAGAGGTGCCAGCTGTTGAGCACACAATCATTCCTCTTGCTACCACCATTAATAACCAAAGACAGTTTACTTTCAAAAGACGTGACTAGGACTTTCTACACTGCGCTTGGTCAATTTGACTCTCTTGAATTCTGTTTAGGAAGATTTCTGTAGTAACAAACATAAGTAAGTAGGGGAGCTGAGTGGTGATGAGGAAGGATGGGGTCCAGTGCACAGGGAGAAAGGCTGGCCTTAGTTAGGAGCCTGGTTGTCCACTCTGGGAAGTATCAGGAGGGAAGGTGGGGCATGGGGCCTGGATGTGGGTGGTTTGGAAGGTCCGAGGGTGAAGCTACTTCTATTTCATTGCCTAGCCTGAAGAAAGATCTGTGAAACATCATTGCTTCAGGAACCAAGGTTTGAGAATCAGTTTATTCCCTTCTGTAGCCTGGCAGTGCTCATTAGCATATTAAAGGCTAACAAACATTTAAGTCTGTTTAACCCAGGATAGCTCACTTGCTATGGTGCCATATAGCTGTACATCATCTGTAAAATTCTAAAGGATCTGGGTATTCTGGCTCCTGGGTATTCATTGATATATATTTGGGACAGATTGTCATCACCTAACTACCTCTTACCAAAAAAAAATTTCTTTAACATTGTCCCTGAGGCTGTTATGGAACCAGGACAAAGGGAGCCTGTCTCTAGGAGCTGTAGCCCAAGCTTGGGAGGGGCAAGAGTACGGAAGGAGGAGACCACTTGGTAGGGTAGGTATGCAACAGCAGTTAAAGGCTGAGGAGGGAGCTAGAACACTAAAAAAAACATCCTCACACTGGTGTCCTCACAATAAACACAAGGTATCAACATTCCATAATTTTGAAGTTTCTGATGTGATGTAATACCTAAATCCACTTCAACTTCTGAGTGGATTGACTGAATCTCTAACGTTGATGGCCTGACAGAGAAGTGATATACCCATTTCTGGGTGCAAATATTATTTATTTCTAAATGTGATGCTAGCACTCAACTGGCACCATGAGTTCCACAAAAAAGCAAGAGAAAGGCCAGTCCACTGTCAAGAAACGAAACAATGAAAGGGGGTCCGGATGCTGGAAAGTACAGACAGGAACATTAAAATAACTATGATTAATGTGTTAAAGACTTCTGTGGAAAAAGTGAACAATATACATGAATAAATGGTAATTTCAAAATAAAATATAAAAGAGTCATATGGAAATGCTAGAAATAAAAGCATGACATCAGAGAGGAAGAATTCCTTTGATAAGACTCATTATCAGACTCAATACCGCTGAGAAAAGGGCAATGAAAATGCAGATAGGTAAACAGGAATTTTCCAAACAGAAACATATGGAAAAGAGCTAAAATAAAATTAAAAAACCTAGGTCTTCTAAATGTGGTGTTACAGCATCAAATGATCTAACATACATGCAAGTGAATTCTCAGGAGGAGAAGTGCAAGAAAACAAGGCAGAAGGAAAATTTGAAGACAGGATGGTCAAGATTCTTCAAAAATAATGGAATACATCACACCACAGATCCAAGAAGCTCAGGGAACTCCAAGTAGATAATCAAACTGTTGAAAACTAGGACTGAATATAAAAAGAAAATCTTGAAGGGCTGGGGATTTAGCTCAGTGGTTCTGCCACCTGCCTCGAAAGCATAAGGACCAGAGTTCGATCCCCAGTACCAAAAAAAGAAAATCTTGAAACTGGTCAGAATGAAAAGAAATATTACAAAGAGAACAAAGATGAGCACACAGCAAACTTATTGGAATCCATTCAAATGAGAAAACAAAGCAGTGCATTTTTAAAGTATTGAACTAAAGAAAGAAAGAAAAACCTCTTAACCCCAAATTTTATACCCAGTAGAAACATCTTTCAAAGATTGAGGTGAAATAAGTTTTTGTTTCTGGAAAAAAAGAAAACTGATATAATTCATTGCCAGCAAATCTGATTATAAGAAATACACAAGGAAATTCTTCAGTCAAAGGAATACAAAACAGAAGCTTGGATCTACCCAGAAAAATGAGGAGTACCAGACATGTCAAAATGTTAAATTAAATAAATCAGACACAAAGCTTAAATAGTGCATGGTTTCTCTTATATAAGAAATATAAAGAGCAAAATAAAAGAATAGGAAATAGGGAGATAGATATTTTGCAAGTGGGAAGAGAATCAAGAGATAGAGGGAGGGAGAGGGAAGGAAGGAGAAGGGGATGAAAGAAGAATTAAGATATGTTATGTACATTTACCAACTTTCCACAAGGAATGCAATCTTATGTCCTGTAAAATAAATAGGACACAGATGTGTAAATACTGAATAGTTTCTCTGGTGTGAGAAACTGAAAGTGTAAATAAGGACTAAATGTATAATAGGTAATGTGAAATAGGAAGAAAAGGGGCAAAGGGGAAGGAAGTGGGAGGGCTAAGGGAAAGGATAGAAGGGAATGGGATTAATATGAGAAAATGGAAAAATAGGAACAAAATTTTTGTAAATAGGGAGGACTGGAGGGGTTGAAGGGAGGGCTGGGCAAGGGTGAAAAACAAGAACCAAGAGAGACTATGTAAAGGTGCAAATTTCCAATGATGAATGTCATTATATTGTATACCTAAAATGTACCAATTATTAGAATGAATAATCGATAATGTAAAATAGGAATAAAAGGTCCAAAGGGGTAGGGGTAGTGGGAGGCACAGGGGAAAGGAAAGAAGGGAAAGGAAAAAATGATGAGAAATGGAAAAAATGGAAATAAAGTCTTTGTAAATAGGGAAGGGTGGAGGGCGTGCAGGGAGGGCTAGGAATGGGGAAAAAATAAGAACCAAGATGCATTATATAAAGGTACAATTCCCAATGAGAAATGTAATTATGTTGTATACCTACAATGTACCAATAAAAGAATTTAATATAAAAAAATCTTATGTCCTGTAAATATATACTAGTCAAATATAAAAATTGAAAAAAACTGACATTCTAATATTACTTTTCCCCAAAAATGTGTGTATATGTATATATGTGTGAATATGTTTAATGAGTTTTTTCATGTTTAATTGTATAAGAGTAACAAAATACTGTAGAATTTATAATTAAATAAATTACAATATAGTGCAATAATTTCACAAAGGATGAGAGTGATTGAAAATGTACCATCATAAGGTTCTTATATTGCACATGATGTGATATAGTATCATTTGGAGGTTGACTTAATCATATAAAAGATGCATATTAGAAACTGTAGCTCAACTGTTCAATATCAAAAGAAAGAGAAAGTCAGTAGTTGAAATAAAATGGAATCATAGATAATGGTTAATCCAAAAGAAGGCAGGAAAAGAGAAAAAAATAGAATAAGTGGATTAAATAGAAATTGGTGCTCACTAAAACCTTCTCCCTTTTGCCCATTACCAAAGACTGGGAAGAAAGAAAAAGAGGGGGAATGAGGAGAAATTATTCAGTGGGTATAAAGTTATAATTAAATGTTAGGAATAAATTCTGTTGTTATGTTATATGGTAGAGTCCACTGTTAGCAATCATGTAAAGTGTATTTCAAAATAGCTCAAAGATGGCTCAATCAGCGCTGAACAAAAAGTCAAAATAGATAGGAGAGGGACTTCTGAGTGTTCTCACCACAAAGAAATAAAGAATTCTTGAGGTGATCTATATCATTGGATGTATCAAGGTACTGCACAGTATCTCAGAAATATATAAAATTATTGTGTGTCAATTAGAAAACAAAGGTAAAAATAGCTCCAGGAAAAAGGCAGAGGTAAAATCTTGTTCTTTGAAATCAGACAGATCAGACTTGTGGAAATGGAGGTAGTTTGACTTCCCTAAGTTTCTATATACAGTTCTCATCTCCTAAATAGAGAACAAGCCCTTCTCCTTTGGTTGCTGCATGATATTGCTACTGTGAATTGTACTACTCGTCACCTCCTTGGCTTGTGGCAGAGAGGTAGCACCCTTTTCTCACTCTCCAAGTGCACACAGGTGTCGGCCAGGACTCACCTGCTGCTGTGGGTGCGGAAGGAAGGCGAGGAGGCTGCGGTGTGTGGGAGGCTGCTGTCAATCCATCACCTGTGAGCAGAGGAACAAGACATCCTTTATGGGCAGAGGTTCCCCAAATCCACAGAAAGAAGAGTGAAAACAAGAACTATCTGAAGGGAAAAGTCAAGCACTTTCTACCAAGTCTTTTCTCCCTCACAGGCAAATGTCCAGAGGAACACTCCTCCCTCACCTGCCCCTGGCGCTTCAGATCCACAGCAGGAGGGAAAACTTTAGTTATGGGGAGACTAGTCATCTGCTTTAGTTATTACTTCAATGCCTGCCTAACCGATATTGGAATTTCTTTGATCTTTGTGCCAGTTTTTCCTCTAGAAGGTTCTCAGATTCCTCACATTCAGTTTAACCACCAAGTCTCTAAATTTCCAACTAAGTGAATTTATCCAAGTTCTCCATCACCTAAACACAATGAGATGCATACTGGATTTCTAGCCACCACCTTTTCTCACTCTTGTTTTTTAAAATCTTATAAAACATTAAACAAATTATCTTAGAGCTCCTACACATGGGAACAATTTGATCCAAGTAGAGCTCGACTCTCGAACAGCAATTAGCCAAGCTGTTCTGTTCACTGTGGGGCAGGTAGAAGACAAGTTCACTTTTTAATTTGGAGGCCACACAGTGATTTGCAGACTTGGCCTTAATACATAACACATGAACTTCCTTGCATATCAGTCAAGCCGAAGGACACCTGCCGTGGGAGGTGGGCAGAATATACTGCAAATGCCATCCCTGTCTCTCCTGCCTGGCCATTTTGTCATGCATTTGGAGCCAACATCACAGCTGTCCTGGCAAGAGCACACAAAAGGAAGACCCGCCCTGACTTCCTACTGCTGCTTCCCCATCCTTCTCTTCTCTTCCTGCAAGTTCTCCTGCCTCCCCTCATCTTGCTCCTTCAGCCCTTTCAGGTTCATAATGTGAAAGCCGGGTCAATGATGTTGCTGCTGCCGGTGCTCCTGGTTTGCCAGTCTGCAGGAGATACTTTACCTTTGTTTGTCCAGAAAATGCATCTGATTCTTATTTAATTGCTCCCATTATTTGAGTCCATAAATCAGTTTGACACTGTAAGAATTTTCTAAAGAGAATTATTGGTGGACAAGTAAAAGCATTTTTAAAGAACTCCAAGTGATGGAAGATGTATCTTATTTCTCAAACTTCTCATCTCCATTTTTATTGACCTCCTGATCCTGCTTAACATTGTGCCTCTGGATAGGATGAGGAATTGCTAACATAGTTTAAGAAAATAATTGTCTCTTAGGGCCAGGGATTTAGCTCAGTGGTTCTGGCACCTGCCTCGCAAGTGCAAGGACCTGAGTTTGATCCCTGGCACCCCCCCCCCACCAAAAATTGAAAATAATTGTCCCAATCCACATGACCCAAAGATTTCACCAACCTGGGAGTTTATGGACCAAGGCAGCAGTTTCAGGCTCCGTGGTGGGGATGAAGCCTGGAGACACATCAGCATCTGATAATTTTAAAATATCTTTAATAACTATGGTGATAATAAACTGTTCAATGACTTCTAAGAAAGCTGGTTGAATGTGTTTGAAAATACACAAAAGCAGTGACATCCTAGGAAGTGACAGCCCTCACCTGTACAGACAATGCATGATTTGGGTGTGGGCCTTAGGGATGTCATTCTAGAGGGACAATGGAGCTTCCAGTGTGAAGATAGGGTTTCCCTAATTCAAAGCTTGGGCTGATGCCACCTTTCATTACAATGGAATCCCATTTTGGCCCACTGTAAGATGGAAATAACATCAGAGCTGGCTAGCAAGAATGTTTATAAAAAGAATGTATTATAAAATACACTACATGTAAAGAATATAAAATATTTACAAAATATAAAAGGGAGTATAAAATGTGTAAATATTCCAAAAATGGTTACAGGATGATTTTATATGCTACTGAGGCCTAGGTACAGTTGAGATAAATTTTGCTCAAATGAAGCAGTGAAAGGAAAAATGAAAACTCCAAATGAATTGTTAACATTTTATCTTTCGTATCTTGTATTATAATAAATCTTCTGTTCTAGGTAGCCTAATAGTAATGTAATTTCAACATTTGTAATTTCCTCAAATAGTCTTGATATGAGCAATTAATTATTTAATTAATTTCCTTCTCTCATGCATGAGGTACCTCTGATCCATGTCACCGGGAAACACCTGGTAAAATCAAGGGCCTATAGTCATACAGGTCTGGGTGGATCCAGCCTTTGCCACACACTGGTTGTGTGATTCTAGACACCTGACCAGTGCCACCTTCCCATCTGCTGTCTCTGAGCCTCTGTTTATTCACTTGTGACATGCTGAAAGTAATCACTTCCTTTGAGGCTACTGCAAAGTAACAGTGTTATGAGGGCACTTAACTCTATGCACAGCACATAGCAGGTGCTCAGGAAGCACTTTGCACAGCTCCAACCTCGCCACAGGAAGGCATTACCTGCTGGGGTGAGTGTGGAGTGAAAACTGGGGGTGCCTGTTGAGGGTGTAGGAGCTGAGGGGCCATCACCTGCAAGCAGAAACAAACAGGGACATCACTCTCAGCCAGGAGCTTCCCTGCCCAATGTAGAAAAAGGTAATGCAATGACAATGCTCTGAACAGCCAGATTCAAATATTCTATCAGGTTTCCCCACTGCAGTATGCAGACAAAACTTTATTTTTCCCGGTTTTGAGTTTTTCAGTCTCTAAAGTGGGGTTTTAGAATATTCTCTTTGCTCTGTACATTTTACATCTCAGAAAACTCGCAAGCCCACCTTTCTGTAGTCTCTTTTTTTTATTCCCTTCTAGGAAACAGCAGTCAGAATGAAGTCATGCAGACATGGTACTCACATAAGGGACTGCACTTCTCTGGCTTTCTCTAGGCATTTATCTCTAGGCAAATTTATCTGGACTTGCTATTACCTAAACAACTTGAGCTGTCCAGAACACCTCTCAGCTCCTCTTGGTCCTCATTTTGCTACCTAAAGCATCAATCTAAACAAACAACCTCATTGCTGTATCATTAGGGGATCAATTGGACCACATTAGACCTTAAAATGTCATGTAGCAATTAACTGTCACACTGCTCAGTGTGGAGAATTGATTTGTGGTTTCGTGTTTAGTGGGTGACACGTTGTGCAACAGACCTAGTCTTAACTTTCAGTGCTGTGCCTGTGTCGTAGCTGCTGGATGGAGTCTCAGCACTGGCCAGATGCAGAGGATCCAAGCCCATGCTCTGCCTCCCCTAGGAGCTCTGACCTTCCCTACCTCTGGGATCTAGGAGCATCCATTTGAGAGAGCTCAGCATGTTGGCATCTGTTAAGCAGGCAAATAACTGGGCCAATGTCTTCTTTTTTTAGATGCCATTTAACTCCTCCTATACTCCATCCCTCGCCCTGGGGATATTCAAGGAAAAGGTATACTCCATAATGATGAATTTCAGGTGCTGGAATAAATATCCATTTTGGAAACTCTTCTATCTTTTTTTACTCTTATCAATGGCCCTCGCTCATAATAAGGAATCAGGCCACTGTGCTCTCCTTCAGGGTGTCTGCCCAGTTTGTGGAAGTGTCTTCTGCAGAGTGAACAGGGCTATAAGCAAACACAGCGAACACAGGTGACCCACCTCTGAGCGTGTACCCTGTGGACACAGCTTCAGAGCCTGCAGAGGGGGTAGGGCTTGGTGGATCTTCAGCACCTGGGGGATGAAAGATCAACTCAGTAGGTCTGTGGGCTTATTTTAACTGTCTAAGGATTGTTGTGAATGTAGACCAAAGTTGCCTGAAGGGGCAAAAAGCAGTGACACCCTGGAAGGTGATGCCCCCTCACCTGCACAGATGACTCCAGCATCCTCAAGGTGCCCGCAGTTGTTCCTGGCCTGGCTCCTGTGCGCGCACTGGCCCAGGTGGCTCTCGCTGCCCACACACTGCATGTCATCCAGCAGGATTTCCCCGGATCCTGCTCCGAAGTGGGCCCCTGTGGGGGCTGCCACTGCCTGGCCACACTGCAGCTGGCGGCACACGACAGTGGCCTCGGCCAGGTCCCAGAGGTCGTCACACACCGTCCCCCACGTTCCCTGGACAAGGACCTCTACGCGGCCTGAACACCTCCCTGTGCCATTCAGCAGCCTCACTGCTATCCAGGCTCCTGGCGGAGACACAAGAGGAGGGATCTTAGGGACTGACCCTCCAGTCACTGGAAGGTTTCTTTTATTCTTTTAAATTCCTAGTTAGGCATCTTCTCATTTTACAAACATGCAAGATCACACAGCTCTCAGGCACTCACACATTAAGAATAGCCAGAGTAATTTGCAATTTCAAACGAAAATGGACTTTGCTAAGACCTCCACTCAAAATGTTGAAAACCTTTATAATAACTCTCTAGAACTCCTAGGGTTCTCCTAATAAGAACATTTTGTCCATATGCGATTCCCTTATCAACATATCAAATGAAACAGTAAGCTAGACTGTGCTAGGCAAATCATAGCTACATAGATATCTCATTATCCACCACAGTCTTAGAGCAACTTGGTCCCTTTGGACTCATGAAAATCTTTTCTTATGGCTTTACTATGTGAAGGAGGCTGAGGACAGGAACTTTTTGTGTCAATGAGTTAAGTGCCAGAGAACCCAAGAGCTGCTAACTTGCATATTTCTTCCTTAAACTTTAAGCAGGGGTAGGCTCCCATTTTACAGGTAAAGAAACCGAAACTTGACAGGGTTAAGAAAATTTCCCTGAAAGCAAATGGATTATTTTCTACTTTTGGCTTCCCCAGCTTGGAAAACACTTCTCTCATTGCTGTCCATCAGCCCTTAATATCTCAGGACCTACTTCCCATACCTGCAGATGGAGCAGTCAAGGCCTCCAGGGCTGTTGTCAGCGATGGCTCTGTGAAGATATCAGCTATAATGAACAGCAAACTTAGGTCACAATCAGTCAGTAAGGTGACAATAATTAAGTGAACACGCTACACAAAGGACCCATCCAAAGACCCAATACCCTTCTGAAATGTTCTATTTTCTCTTGATTTATCTAAATTGGTCACCATCATTACCATTAAACAAGATGATTTAACTTTTCAATCATTCATTATATTCATGGTCAACTTATCCTGAATCCTTTGTTCAGTAGAAGCAATCTTGTGAAAACAGAAGACAAATTTAGAGACATAACCCTTAAGGAAAACTGAGGGAATAAGAGCAATTTCTATAAATTAGTAATGCTGTGTGCCATCATTCATTCAAAAATATTTCTTGACCATAAAGAAGGAAATAAAGAGTGCCTGCAGATAAAGCTTATAACTTAGGCAGAAGCTAGAACAATACTAAGTCACTGTGGATTTTGAGAGATGTCAGTAACAAGAGTAAAAATGTAGACGATGTGCCTTCTTCCAAGGGAAAAAAAACTCTGGAGAATGGTTGCTGAACCATGGAAGGACTTGGACAGGTAGAAATAAAAAGAAGAGTTCCTTTTAGGGAGCTTTGGAATTGGAGGATGGCAGCCCTGATTTCAGACACTCAGGGAGATGAGATAACATGTATTTTAATTTGACTGGAATACCTTTGTAGCCATGATACATTTGCCCAAAATATCTGGATCTCAGCACTTTCCTTATTCATATTATGCAGAAAACTTCCCAAGAGATGGCACACAAAGAAAAGGGAATTTGGGTCAAATGTACTGCATAAGCCTGACATCCTGAGATTTCTAGTGGGTATTTTGAGGGTTAGGTGTACATAAAGGCTCCTAGATATCTGTAGTAAAGAGATCTGTCTACTGTGTTTAATGCATTGTCTAAAGTCACAGGACCACAGAATCCATGTGGGTGTGAATGTGCCTGTGTGCATATACAACTGACCTTAGTACCCTACTGAACTAGCAGTACTAGAACCATACTTTCAGAAACATCTTTCACTATCTCAAGAATCTTCACAGGGACTGGGGGTATCTAGCAATATTTGCCATTAAATGTCTAATTTTGTTCATATTTCTAGAAAAATGATGTATTCTGTAAACCTCAATAAATATATAGGATATAAAGATTCAATGTACACTGAAAAAAGATGCACTTTAATGTACCTGCTGGTGTTTGCTCTTCCACAGAAGTGATGGACTCTATTGTTATTGCAACAGCTACAGTGAAAAGAAAACATCAATTAGTTAATAAACAGCACTCCAAAGAGATAAATGAAAGCCAAGTAAAGGGAAAGCTATCAGGCACTCTAAGCCAATTTCTAGCATCTCTTTATGAAAATGTAACATAAGAAACCAGTACTAAAGGCCTTAGTGAGTTTCCAGGCTAAAGACATGATTGTTTTAATATGAGATCTGATTCTTATTCCATCACTTATTACATATAAACTTCATTTTTACCAGCAACAAAAAGAAGATACTGAATTTTTAAAATTTAAGTACCCTTTATAATAGCATCAAAACCCATAAAGTTCTTATGGATAAGTCTAATAAATATGTAGAAAATCTTCATGCAGAAAACTATAGGATCTTGATGACCTTAAATGAAAACATTAAATGAAGAGATATACAGTATTGATGGTTTAAAAACTTAATGATGTTATGATATCAATTTTTCTCAAATATATTAATAGACAACACAATTCAAATTAAAAATCTCATCAGGCATTTTTGTAGAACTTTATAAGCTGACTTGTTTCTTTGGTGAGATTCATTAAACAAGGTTTTTTTTTTATCAAAACAACATGTTGCACACCTAAAATATATACAATTTTTTATTTTTCAGTCATACTTCAGTAAAGCTAGAAAAATAAAATTTGAGTCAAGAGAAAAAAATCTCGATTACTCTGGTGTGAGAAACTGAAAGGGTATAAAAGAGAAAAAGAACTATTTGTAGAATAAGGAGCAAAATGTATAATAGATATTGGGAAGGGGGAAAATATTCAAATGGGAAGGGGAACAAGAGAGGGGGAAGGGGTAAAGGAAGGAAGGGAAAAGAAAGAGAACAGAAGGAAAACATGGAAACAAAGCTTTTGTAAATAAGGAAGGGAAGAGGGGTTAAAGGGAGGGGAAGGGATTGGAGAGAAAAGAAGAATCAAGATATAATATGGACAGGTACAAATTCCTTACAATGAATGTTACCATTATGTATATCTAAATGTACCAATAAAATTAATTAAAAAAAAGAAAAGACAAACAAAGTTGGAAGATTCACACCATCTGACTTCAACACTACTTTGAAACTATAATAATCAAGACTGTTATATGGGCATGAGGATGGTCACACAAATCCATGGAACAAAAGGAGGAATCTAGAAGATCTATGTATATAGGGTTATTTAATTTTTGGCAAAAGTTTCCAGTATCTCAATAGAGACAGCATAATCTTCTCAATGAATGATGTTGGAATGGTTAGATGTTTATGAAAAAAGACCTTTGAATTATATATTAAACCAAAAGCAAAAATCAATTAAAACAGATCATATGAATAAATGAAACATAGAAGAAAACAGTTAATAATAATCTGAGAGGCTTTTAGTTAAACAAGTCTTTCTCAGATAAAAATATCAGTAAACTGGACTTCCATAAATATTTTAAATCTGCTTTTTAAAAAATGCTGTTAATAAAATGAAAAGACAATCCACAGACTGATATAAAATGTTTGCAACACATGTACCTGATAAAGTACTTGTATCTATAATATGTAAATAACTGTCTTACAACACAGTAACAAGACAGACAACTCAGCTTTTAAAAACAGCATAAAAGATTTGAATAGACATTTCACCAAAGAGATGCAAATAAGCAAATAAAAAAAATGTTCAACTTCATTTGTCTTTAGAGAAATGTAGCTTAAAACCACAAAATATGTTATATGCATGTATTAATATGCCAAAATGAAACCCATTATTCTATATAGCTAATCTGTACTAATAAAAAAACCCCTCAAAGAGTTAGCACTATCTCATTATGGTAGAGATATCATAATAGCCAAACTTTAAAAATAGACAACCTAAAGTGTTGACAAGGATGCCAACGACTGTAACTCTCACACATTGCTGGTGGGAATCCATTTTTGAAAACAGTTTGTAACTTGTATGTGAGTATTTATAGTAGCTTTATGAATAATAGTAAAAACTAGAAACAGTAGCTGGGTATGGTGGCACACACCTGTAATCCTACCACTTGTCGGCTGAGGCAGGAAGATCGCCATGAGTTTGAGGCCAGCCTGGGCTATATAGTGAGTTTAAGGCCAGCATGAACTGCATAGCGAGAAAACTACATGTCTCAAAAAGCAAAACAAAACAAAAACTAGAAATAAATTAATGTCCACCAAGTAGTGAAAAGATAAACAAATTTTGGTTCATCCATGCAGTGAAATACTACAAGATAAAAGAATGATATTTGATGCATAGAATTACAAGGATGATTCTTATAAATATTATGCTAAGTAAAGAATCCCAATAAAAATGTTCTGTGTTGCTTAATTGCATTATATGATATTCTGGGAAAGGCAAACCTTTAGAGAGAAAACTCAAATCAGTGGTTGTCAGAATTCAAAGATCAGGGGAGAAGTTTAAAAACAAAGAGGGACAAGGAAACTTTATAAGGTAATGGCAATGTTCTATATCTTGATAGTGATTATGGTTACACAACTGTAATGATTACAATTCTTTGAAGTACATGGTAGTTTTTACTGTATGTAAATTATGCCTCAATAATCCTGATTTAACTCTGGACATTGAGAACACGTAGGCACAGAAGCCAGGCAGAAAGCCCGTGGTCTTCTAGGAAGGAAGGGATGATGAAGGCTGAGAGCAAGACAGTGGCTGTCAGATGAAGAGGAGGTCACGAGTGCAACCCTGGGCTCCTATCTATAACTGAGAAATTAATTCATCCACAGAGACCTATTTGCATAATGTTGGATATCCAGAGGTTTGAAGACTTTTAATGATTTGCTTAAATATTCTTCTTTGGATGTTAAGTTCTGTAAATACTCAAGCATAAAAACAAACTAAAAGCAACTAGGAAAGTAAATATAAAGTTTGACTTACTGGTGAGACTAGTTTTTGATGCTGATAGTGCAGGTAATGCTGATGCTGATAAAGATGAGATGGACAATGACGATGATGGTGCTGAAGGTGATGATGATGATGACCGTGATGATGAAGATGAAGATGGCAATGATGAGAATGATGGAGATGATGATGGTGATAATGATGATGGCAATGATGATGAAGATGACAATGGTGATGAAGATGAAGATGATGGTGATGAAGATGAAGATGGTAATGAAGATGATGATAATTCTGCTTCTATTTATTGGGATAAGAAATATTCTATTAAATTATGTTTTAAAACAGTGATTCTCAAAATGTGACCCCCAGACCAACAGTGCATAAGCATCCCAAACTTGTCAGAAGTGCACATTCTCATACCCTACTCTAGAGCTAACAAATAAAAACCCCAAGGGTAGGGTCCAGAAATCTGTATTTTAATGAGTTGCCAGGGGATCCTAATGCACAGTTAAGTTTGAATAACACTACTTTAGGATTAAAAAATAAGTAAACTGAATGGTCCCATGGTATTTCGAGTGGCAGAAGTACTCTGAAATCAAATATGTATAAAATTTTCAATTTCTTAGTTTTCTCTCAAATACTTTGTGAGGACTGAGGAGCATAGTTATTATACAGCATATCCCAGAGATCAAGGACAGTTAATTGTGGTTCTTCAGTGCCCACAGAACAGTCCTGTCATGCCTGCAGCTGCCTGGTGACTGGATTCTCATTTGGAAAGATTCTGCACTTGGGGTACTGGGTACTGTGAGCTAATTCCTAACTTCCTTGTCACTGATGTCACTCCTCAGCCTGGAACTCTTCTCAAAGACTCACCCCCAAGGATACCAGGCTCTAACCTGGAGCAACTGCCCAGGAGAGGGGCATTCAGACAAGGACTATGGGGCTCCCTGTAGGACAGCTTGACGCGAGCGAGCTCAGCCTCCTGAGCTGCATTCTGAATCCATCTGTTACAGAGGGTTGGTATCAGCTGGGAACACCTTCTAAGCTTCAGGTAGCACAATGGATCATTAAAACCAGCCTTTTGAACGACTTAAAGCTTGATTTGACAGGTTCATTTGCATCCCATTTCCATTGCACAGATTAAACAGTAGCTAGACAGAAGTCAAAGTAGAATGGGTTGTAGAAATCAGTCTTCCTTGGAGGGGAGGGACTTGCCTTACTAGAGGACCTGTTAGTGTAAAGAGAGAAGATGCCAGCCCTCCCAGAAGGAGCAGCTAAGCCATTCTGCACATGAGTCATTTAGAATGCAAAAGGACCCTCACCAGAGCAGATGACTCCAGCGTCCTCCTCATGGCTACAGTTGTGAGTGAACCAGCTGTCATGGGTGCACAAGGACAGGCTGCTTTCTGTGCCAGTGCAGTGCACATTGTCTAAGAGGATCTTTCCAAAGCCTGGGCCAAAGTGGGCACCAAGGGGGGCAGACAGAGCCAGGCCACACCCAAGCTGCCTGCACACGACCTGTGCCTCTGGCAGGCCCCAGCCTTCATCACACACTGACCCCCAGGTCCCCTGGTAGGAAACCTCCACCCTTCCAGAGCATCTTCCAGTGCCATTCACCAGTCTCAGCCTGGGCCAGGCTTCTGTCAAGACAAAAACAAGGGTAAGTGTCAAACTCACCTTATCTGCCTGGTGTGTTAGTCAGCTTTTCATTGCTTTGACAAAATACATGAGAAAAACAACTTAAAGGAAGAAAGATTTATTTTGGTTCATGGTGTCAGAGGTTTCAGTCCATGGTCAGCTGACTTCATTGCTTTTAGTCCTGTGGCAAGGCAGAAACACCATGGCAGAAGGCATCATAGAGGAAAGCTGCTTACCTCATGGCAGCCAGAAAACACAGACAGAGAAGAACCAGGGACAAGACATACACTTCTGGGTTATGGCCCCAGTAACCTACTTCCTCATCAGGCTCCACCTCCTAACAGCCCATTCAGCAACAAATCAATCCATTCATGAGGTTAGCACCCTTGTGATCCAATCACTTTGCAAACTCCTCTTTGAACACATAAGTCTTTTGGGAAACATTTTTGATCCAAACCATCACACCTGGCTTAAAAATTAAGAAGAATCTTTAAACTACCTCAGATTTATAATAGCAATAAAAGATAGAAAATGTTTGACAATTATACCACAATGTGACATGCTCTTTGCTAGTCACTGAACAAAGCAGACTAGGTGTTAGAATATATTATTTCTCATTCTTTGTTCCTTGACAATAGCATGAGAGACATGAAAATTTAGGAACATGTTTTTCTATTCATGGGGAAATGGATTAAATTTAATAGTATATTCCAAAAATAGAATACTCTACAGCAGTTAACAACAGTGAAACACACACATATATACACACATGTGTAACAAAATAGATTGATCTCAAAATGTGACATTGAGTAAAGAGAAACTGTATTGTATAACATATAGAGACTAACATAATTTATGTGAAAAAGGACACACAAAATCATATAATTCATATGTGTAAAAATATAAAAATGAGCTACAAAGGTATATATAAAAAGGGGAAGGAGAGAGAAGAGACTGGAGTTGGAGTAATTGGGAGCTTCTTATCGATCATCTATGTATCTACGAATCTATCTATGTATCTATCTATCTGCAGCAATGGGGATTGAACCCAGAGCTGCCCACATGGTAGGCAAATGTTCTACCACTGAGCCACATCCCCAGCCTTGGGAGTTTCATGTGTGATTATTTCACTTCTTGTTAGGAACAGAAAACCAGTTTAACACAATGTAAACATTGGTCATGTCTAGGTAAGGGGGACATGATTATTTGCTCTCTTATTCTTTGTATTTTCTGAACTTTACAGTGTTTCCTTGGAATATCAGGAAAGTACAGCTGACCAGAAGCTGAAGTCTTCTGGAAGGACCAACTGACCAGCCCAGGTCTTCAGGCCAAGATCCATTTTCTCTCACTATGGAGCTTTCTTCTGTACCTCGGTAGCCCCCACCTGTGCTACTCCCCCAGGCTTCTTCCAGGCGTGGTGACCCCTCTCCACAGTTCACAAGAGTGACAGTGTGTCCCTGGGGAAGGCTGCTCACCTGGTGGGCTGAGCCCAGGCACATTGGCTCTGCGATTGGCAGCTGCAGAGTCAGCCACAGGAAGAACTGAAACAACATTGGAATGGGGGTTAGGAATCAAGGTCCCTTTCCTGGGACAGACACAGCGCACATCAGAAAAGGACTCAACTAACAGCTGGAAAATGTCCCCAGCTAGTCTATACCTTAACCCAAACATCTGGACTAGCCACATGTTCATAATGAACTGCCAAATTTCAGAGGAGGTTAGAGTCAAGTTTAGGTGGCCAGCAGAAGGCTCCTAAGTGTGATTCTGCTGTTCCTAGTGCCTCCCCCTCATGCAGGGTTCTGCATGAGGGTACTCAGCAGTAGTAAAACAAGTCACTAAAAACTTGGGCAAAAGTTGTAAAAATCATGATATTCATAAAGATGTCTTTGATGACCCCTCAGAGAACATTATATAACCTAGTGACCCCCTCTGCCTGCCTCTGGATAGTAAGGTGCTGTCTATCTACAAGACTAATGATGGAGTCACTGCTCTTACCTGACAAGATGGTTCGTAACTTTTCATTATCTGCTGTGACTGAAACATAAAAAATATTTATTAGAAGCATCTGGCTTTGTTAGTGTGTGCATATCTGAAGTGCTAACACTTCCCCGTGAAGAGGATGATTGCACATAGGGATGACTGGCATTTTTCAGAGTGATGCTTGGGTCTCTTGAGGGGAGAAATTCCCCTCCGTGACTTACTGTCTAGCAGGATTATTCCTAGTCAAGACTACAGCTGATTCAATAAGGAGCCAAATGCCCTGGCCACACATGTGGACATTCTTTTATTAATTCAACAAACATATATTCAGTGCCTGTATTGTGCTAAGGACTGTGATGGGTGCTAGGAAAATAGTCATGAGCAAGGCAGATGAAATTCTTCCTCATTTGGTAGCAGTCTGGTGCCGGAGGTGACACTGGACATCACATGCTCTCCCTACATCCCTTGGTAGTGAATTTGTCCCATCCCTGAACATCAGTCATCATTTCCATGGGCTTAAAATGCCAGACCTGGCATATATAATATAGCACACCTAGTTTTTGTTGTTTTAGCTCATAGTTCACTGACCTACCTGATGACATGATTGGGTGGTTAATATCCAGGACAGCTGAAGTTGATACAACTTTTAGAAAAACAAAGCAAGGAAAATGAGTCCTGAGATTTAATATTGACTAGAAAGAGAAGGACCCTCTTCACCCGCTTCACATTTCCTAGAGAACTCAATTACCTTTACACAAGTGCCTTCCAAACAAAGAATTTTAAAGGGAACAGACAGCCTTGAAAGCATCACGCTGGGCACAAAAACATCATCTCATATTGTATGGCTCCATTTATACGAACTATCCAGAATAGGTAAACACGTGGAGACAGAAAGCATGCTGGTGATTGCCAGAGCTTGGGGAGGAAGAATGACAGGATGGCCATGGCTCCAGCAGAAGCACCATGGCCCATTCTCCAGCCTGGCAGCCTCGGGGCAGAAGCCTCTCCGCCCGAGAAGTGGTGCTGGGCACCAGGCTCTCCGCTATGCGCTTGACAAGGATTCACTGACTTAGTCCTCACCACAGCTCATTAAAATAAGCGATTGTTCCATTTTTTTGATGAGATAACTGGAGCACAAATCGATAAAGAGACGGGGCACAGCTACATAGGCAGGGGGTATTAGAGAGTAGGTTCAAACCCAGCGTCCCTGAGTCTTCTCTGAGCACTGCATTGAAGCCAACTGGAAATTTCCCTGAGGCTTCAAAAATACCCTTATGTGGTCACAAGAGCTAAATTTTTGCTGGATGTGGTGGCACACCCCTGTAGTCCTAGCACTTGGGAGGCCAAGGCAGGAGAATCCATGAGTTCAAGGCCAGCCTTGGCTACATAGTGAGTTCAAGACCAGCCTGAACTACATAGAGAGACCCTGTCTAAAACAAAACAAAACAAAGCACCCACAAACAAACACACAAAAAAATAAAAAAGAACTAAGTTATTAAAAATTATTATTTTGAAAGAGTCTCACAATTTGGCCCAGGCTGGCCTTGAACTTGGGGCAGTCCTTCTGCCTCAGCCTCCCAAGAGTTAGAATTACAGGAGTGTGTCAGCACACCTGGCTGAGAGAGCCAAGAATTGTAAAAAATGGACTGAGACAGGAACAAAGCCAGAGGTGAGGGTGATAAAGAGCTGCTGCCACCATCTAGGCTATGGACATATGAGTCTGGGTAAATAAGTACAAGAATACAAAAATTAAATACAGGCTTGGCTCAGAGACTAACTCCTTTCACTCTTGGCTCTTCTCATCTCAAAGTGATCCTCTTGGTTTCTGAATAGGCAGCATGGCCGGTCAATATTTAATAGAATTTTTAATGTCATTTAGATGAGAATTTAGAGCAGTCTACAGATTAGGCTTTAGATCTCCAAAGTCAGATTTTGTGTTATTGTTCCATCAACCCAGAGACAGTATTGACCTATTTGAGCATGAGTGTCTGCATTAGGATAAGGGAGATTACAGACACTCCCTATCCAGCAGTTGGGAAGATTAGATAAGAAAATTCACAAGAAGCATTTAACATCGTGATTGAAAGGCATAAGGTAATGTCATTTACTAGAAATTAAGTTGAATCTATTATATATGTAATTGTAAGATTTCTGATAGGCACATCTTAAAAAGCAAAAAGAAACAGGTAAAATTAATTTTAGTGCTCTGTGTTGTTTAATCCAATGTATCCAAAATATTATAATTTCTTTTTTTCCCCTTAAATTCTTTTATTAGTACATTTTAGGTATACAATACATTTACATTTCTCATTGAGAACTTGTACTTTTACATGATGTATCTTGGTTCTTATTTTTTCCCCATTCCCAGCCCTCCCTTCACCTCCTCCACACTTCCCTATTTACAAAGACTATTTCCATTTTTTCCATTTCTCATCATTTTTCCTTTCCCTTCTTTCCTTTCCCCTACCTCTCCCACTTCCCCTACCCCTTTGGACCTTTTCTTCCTATTTTGCATTATCAATTATTCATTTTAATCATTGGTACATTTTAGGTATACAATATAATGACATTCATCATTGGAAATTTGTACCTTTACATAGTCTCTCTTGGTTCTTATTTTTTCCCCATTACCCCACCCTCCCTTCAACCCCTCCATCCCTCTCTATTTACAAAGACTTTGTTTCCATTTTTCCATTTTCTCATATTAATTCCATTCCCTTCTTTCCTTTCCCCTACCCCTCCTACTTCGCCTTCCCCTTTGCCCCTTTTCTTCCTATTTCACATTATCTATTATACCTTTTAGTCCTTATTTACACTTACAGTTTCTCACATGAGAGAAACTATTGGGTCAAAATATTATAATTTCAATAGGTAACCAATATAAAATGTCAATGAGCAATTTTACATTCTTTTTATAGTTCTTTGTCTTTTTAAAAAACAACTTTATTGAGGTATGATTGATATACTAAAAAACTGTATACGTTTAACATATACAATTTGCTGCATTTGGACATAGGCATAAGCTGTGACAATATTACCACAATCAAGAGGATAAACATATCTACCACCTCCAGAAGGTTCCTTGTGTCCTTTTTGTGTGTGTGTGATATAAGAACATTTTGAGTCGTACCACTTTAACAAATTTTTCATGCTATGCTAAATATCTGCACAATGCTATACTATTAACTGTAGGTACCATGTATACAGAAGATCTCTAGAATTTATTCATCGTGTGTAACTGAAATTTCCTACCCATTGTACAGCAGCTCCCCACTTCTCTAAGTCTTTGAAAGAGTTAGATTATATTTGAAACACACAGAATATCTCAGTTCCCATTAGATGTGTTTCAAGTACTCAGTAGCCACAAGAACAGTGAAGATACAAGGGCTTACTAGGGATTATCATTGGCCTTGTTAGACTATAAATTACATGATGGTAAAACTGAAATTGAGTAGTTACAGATGATGGAGTAGAGATAGTGTCAACAAGCACAATGATAAAATGAAAATGGACTAAAATGTGTAATAGATATTGGGAAATGGGAAGAAATGTTCCAATAAGAAGGGGAACAAGAGAGAGGGGAGGGGGAAAGGAAAGAAGGGACAAGAAAAAATAGAAGGAAAAAATGGAAACAAAGCTTTTGTAAATAAGGAGGGGAAGAGGGATTGAAGGGAAGATGGGAATGGAAAAAAAAAGAAGCAATATATATCATGTATAGGTACAAATTCTCTATGATGAATGTTATCATTATATATATATCTAAAATTACCAATAAAAAATGAAAATGGACCATAATAGCGACATTACTAGGATGTTCAGCATGATTAGGAAGAGGCATGGCCTCTCCATGTGACTCATTTGGAAAAATAATTAAAATTTTCTGAGTTGTACACTTCCCAGACATTAGGCAGATGCTCTACTTTATTTCTTAAATTCAAAAGATATAAGATGACCTTTATTAGTTTCTCTTTCTTTAACACACACACACACACACACACACACATACACACATTCTTACACTCTTCTTTTTTCCCCTTACTCTTTACATTTGTTAAAGCATATGAGAATCCCTGAATTACTATGTTCTTTGATAGTAAATTACAGATAATCAAATATAAAGTGAAACTGGACAACACAATATCTAGACCATCTCAGTCTGTTTTTTCTTAAATCTTTTGATCTCAAATGAAACATTACCAGTCCTAGAGATGGTAGAGCTGAACCCCTGGCTACCACTATGTGCAGTGGAAGAGCTCTGCTAAACTCTGCAACAGCAGGGGTGAGGTGTCCTACCTGGTGATGCTGAACTTGCAGCAGGTATAAGAGGGTGTTGAGTTGAGATGGCAACGGGTAGAACTGAAATAAAGAAACATTTGTTAATAGGAAGCAACAGTTCACAGTGACTTGAGGGAGATATGGCCATCCAGGGACTCCCTGTGACTTTTCAAGATGTAGTTTTGCCTCAACTCTGAAGGAATCACTGCATAAGCAACAGAAATACTAACCCATCCCTTAGCTATTGATCCTCAATCCTATTGGGCTCAATATTCCCCCACCTCTC